TTATTCCCTCTATTGTTAGAGAATAGACACTTCATAAAGTAACAATGCCAGACATTTTAAACTGCTTCTTGAAAATTGTTTTTAAGAAAGATATTCCATTTAACCAGTGAGATAAGATTCATTGGGGGTTATTGTTATGGAAGCCAAGTCAATTTAGAACATAAAATAAAATTTAAAAGGACAATTCCACCAGTAAAATGGGGGTTGTCAGGTAACCAGCATTGGTTTCTGAAGTGCCATAATCTGAAAACAGAAACAAGACAAATAATGGATCCTGAGTTCTGAAGTTTGGGAATTGATATCTACTCAATCCATAATTTTCTGTACTCTTTGGCTTAGATGGGTAGGGGATGAAGGGTCTTGGGTGGAAAATTCAAGAAAAATCAGCAGCAAACTGCTTCATTAGGTATGGATGGTTGGGAAGGCATGTGCAAGAGGTGAGGTAACCTGACAGGAAATTTGGAGAGAAGGTGAGTACAAACATAGCCTCCCCTCAACCCTCTATGACATGAGACAGTAGAGCAAAGGTTACAACAAACTAAGAGGGAGTGCTGAACGATCACCGATTTAGAGGGTCTCTTGTAATTCTGACAGAACCACTACTCGTAGAAAAATCTCAAGGAATAATTTTTGAGTGGATTGGGACATACAAATTTACTGCTTCAAAATGATCAAAAGTAATGATCAACTTCAATGAAAAAATAAACTGCCGTGCTAACAATGAAAAAGTACAGAGTAAGATCAATTAAAAAATAAACAATAAAATGAAAAGTGCAGAGTAAGAGAACTTTATTATGATGGAACTAATAAAATGGAAAAAACAATTACTATGGGGAAAAAATCCCATATGGAGACTGCTTTGGGGGGAGCTAGTGTATTTCTGTGCTTGGTGATGGTGTATATAAAAATAGCTTACTTACAGGCTTCAGCGATACGGAGATCACCACTCCAGATTATATTTAACTCAAATATTTTCAAGGTCACCTTAAAGCATCCCTCAAAGCTCTAAACAGTCCATAACTCTGTGACTTGTTGAACCACCCGAGCATCATTTGTAGACTATGGTGTACAGTCAGTCCAACCACTAAGAACGCTTTCAGCTGTAATCCAGGCTGCTTGGGTTTGAATCCCAACTCTTCCACTTTTGAATTTTGGCAAGTTAGCTAATCTGTCTGTGCCTCACATTCCTCATCTTTAAAAAGGGGACAATAATCGTGCCTATCTCATAGGTTTATGGTGAGGAGTAAATGGATTAATACGTATAATGTGCTTGGAACAGTACTTAACACAGAATAAAAAGTGAAATGTTTGCTATTTTTAAATAACAGGAACAAATGACTAGCACAGGATAAAGGAATTTATCTTTCTTTCATTAACAAAAATGTCAAGATATAGATGGTTTCTGCATTGGTTTAGCTTATCGGTGGTGTCATGAAAGCCTCAGTCTCTATTATGTCACTTCACTATCTTCATTATGTTGGCTTTTTGTCCTTCAGCTTATGCCTCATGGTCTCACAATGGCTTCCATAGCTCTAGACATCATCTCACATATGGACTGTGTTTCAAAATCAGAAAGAGGGGCACCTGGGTGGGTCAGTGGGTTAAGCCTCTGCCTGTGGCTCAGGTCATGATCTTAGGGTCCTGGGATCAAGCCCCGCATCGGGATCTCTGCTCAGCAGGGAGCCTGCTTCCCTCTCTCTCTCTGTCTGCTGCTCTGCCTACTTGTGATCTCTCTTTCTCTGTCAAGTAAATAGATAAAACCTTTTTAAAAAGTCAGAAAGAATGCTAGCCAGGGAAGAAGAAAAATGACAAAGAAAAATGAGAGAGAGAAACACTGCCTCACACTATTTTCATGTTTTCTGAAGATGCAAAATGTTTTCCCAGTGCCCCTCACCAATTTTACCTTATCCAGTTGGCCAGAACTGAGTCACAGGAGACCCTGGAGTCAGGGGATCTGTGCCTTGGGTTTTGAAGAGTGGGAAGAAGTGGGAGAGTACCTGTTGGGCAGACATGGGTCCCCCGCAGTGAATCATTCCTCTGTTTTGTTCCAAATGTTTTGTTCCTGCTTCAGCTGTGAATGGACAATCTGTCTCCCAGAACATTCATGTGAATTAATAATTAAAGAGTTTTTATAATATGTGAGGTCATTTTGGAAATGGTCCATGCCACTGCCAACTTTTTCCCATTTCACTTCATGCATGGTACCTACAAGCAAGGTCCACTTCTTTGTAAGACTGACTTCAAAAACTCTATCTTCTTCTAAAAAACTGCTCAAACCTCAACTGGGTCACATAAGAATACCCAGAGTCCTCAGCCAGTCAACACTGGTTGAGTCCTTATTTTCTGCCAGGCCCTGTGGTGCTCTGAAAGCCTTCTGGTTTTACAAGTCTGGGCGAGAAAACAAGAGCAGCACATATTAAGCATATCCTGGAGTCCGGGAAAGGGAGGGATCAAATGGTCTCGCACAATCAGAGGGGATCCTATGGAGGAATCAGAAAGGCCTCAGAGAATAGGATGGAATTTGGTGGCCAGAAGGATAATTTGAGAAAAGGCTCCTCGTTGGGATAGCGTGGATGTGGGAGGGACCGTTGTTCTTACCCATTTGAGATTTTTTATATCTTTCTCCTTAGAACGTGGAAGAAGCTGCCCCAAATTGAGAACACGCCAAACATTAGCATTAATAATGCTGTGATCTCTCCAAATGTTAACTATATCCGCTGGAAAGTGCATGGAGACTGGGTTACTCAGGTAAAAGAAGGAAGGAAGGACGGGAGGGAGAGAGAGGGGGGGGGAGGGAAAAGGAAAAGAAAAGAAAGAAAAGTTTAAGTAAAAGTAAATTGGGATTTGCCAGACTGACGTCTCTCTCCAGGTGTAGCAGCCAAACAATCAAATAAATATATATATTCTTTAAGAAGCGACCACTGTTTCTGAGGTAACTGTATTAACTTAGATGAAAACAAATAAAAAGAAATTTTGCATGAAATACCAGAAGAGTGCAAAGAATGATAGACATCTGGTTTCTAGAAGTTAGTGCAATTATTCAGTTTGAACTTCCAGGCATGCTTGTTTTTGCGGCCACCGTTTGGGTCTGAAGGCAGTAGATGTGTTTTCCTTCCTCTTTTTTGGAGCGGGGGGTGGGGAGCCAACTCAAATGACCCAAGTATTTAGGGCCAATAATATGATTTTGGACATAACAGCCTTTTCCTTGAGATTTCTACTGGCTCTGAGAAGCTAAATGAGTGTTTCTTAAACACATCAACAAGCAAGACATTGTTCTTAATGTTAAGGCAGCCTAGAAACCAAATACAGAGTGGACACGCTGTCCAGAGGATTCGAAAGAGAAGAGGAGTTTTTCAGTGTTAATAGAGCACTAGCTAGGGGAGGAGAGACTCCTGCCGACATCTTTTGTCTATTCCTAAACACATCAGGCTTAACGCAAGAAAGTTGCAATATTAGCGGGTAAAAGGAAAACTAGGAAAACGACCAAATTTATTTGCTAAGTGAAAAGGAAAATTCAAGGGGAAGAAAATTTGGGCCAAGAAAATAGCATTTGCTTGAAAGATTAACACCAACAAAGTTTCAGACACAAAGAGAAGAAAATAAAATACTGGGGTAGAAAGGAAATGTGAATTAATTAAGAGTACAAAAAGGAAACAATCCAACTAAACAACCACATGTAGAATTGCCATATGTAATCCCTATATGTTTCTCGAAGGTGATTGGCCCAAGATCCTTTTCTTCTTCAGCTTTTTTGAGCTATCAACATATCATAAATTTATTCACTTTAAGCATACAATTAATGACTGTTGATAAATTTACTGAGTTAGGCAATTATCACCATAATGCAGTTTCAGAACATTTCCATCACCCCAATAAGACCTCTGTTAACCATGTAGAGTTAATCCCCATTCCTACCTCCAGTGCCAGGCAAGCATTAATCTACTTCCTGTCTCTATTGATTTGCCTTTACTGGCCATGTCATGTACATAAAATCATACACTATGTGGCCTTTTGTGCCTGGCTTCTTCTACTTTGCAAAATAGAGCCGTGCTTAGCGTGTGGACATTTTGCCCTACTGGGCTGCCAGCCCCCATTGCCTTGGAAGGTAGAAGGAACAATACCAAAATCCAGAGTCAGTGCCATCCAAAAGATGACCACACATGGGGGAAGACAAAGCGGGGCCTTGGCATTGGCTACATAGAATGGGAGCCAACAGAGGGGGGCCATACCATGGGAAAATTCTCCCACCACCCCACAAGGTGTGTTCATGATCTCCCCACTCAGAGGCCGGCCACCTGAGAGCCTCTTGAGGAGGCTGTTCCAACAGGGAAAAGACAGAGATAGTTCTGAGCTCTGTGGGTTGCTTGGGATATTGAATCTTATTGTGCGAAGTTAGATCCCAAGCTCCAGAAACCCTCTCTTCACCTCCCAGACTTACCCTTTGTCTTCCTGTGTCTCTGGTCTTCTGGTTTCTGCCCGTCGTGGAGGTTAGAACCAAGGTTTATCTTCCGTAGGTGCCCCCTCTGAGCCTAGCATAGTGCCTGGAAGGTCTAAAAGAGAAACCAGTCATCCCTTGTAGCTAAAATGTTGCTCTTCCAACACCACTACGGCTTTACCCATTTCACATGTTTATAGTCTTAAAAAGGAATTCCTCCATAGGGAGGTGTCCTAAAAGCAGGGAAATGTTGTAAATCCCACTGACTCCAGTTCCCTGAACTAGAGACCAGCCCTGACACCTGCCAGAAGGCTCTGGTTCCCTAATCCTGGCATAGCTCCTTTAAGAGCCCGGCTCTCCATTTCGTTTTTGTTTTTATTTTTAAGATTTTATTTATTTGAGAGAGAGAGAGAGCTGAGCAGGGAGCCTAATGCGGGGCTCGATCCCAGGACCCCGGGATCATGACCTGAGCCAAAGACAGACGCTAAACTGACGGAGACACCCACGCACCCCATGGCTCTCAATTTTCAAAGACAGGGGAAGAGAGCCTTTTACCCTGCCCAGTATGATCCTCAGCATAGCATCCAATTTAAATGTGATTTATGTTGAAGGATAAGCTGTTTTCCCTGTGAACCCCCTGCAGCGATGCAGGCAGCATTCCGATTTTCTCAGAAATATCTAAAATACGTAGTAGAATCTTCAGCACAGTCTGCCAGACAGGATACCCAGGAATTGTTGTTCTGGTGTTAGCCTGGAGCGAGCGTCAAGGAGAGAGAACACCCACGTGTTCACACTCTGCCAGGCCACCTACACACGTCTGCCCACTCCCAAAAGTGGGTTTTTTAAAATGTGCCTATCCTATGAGCAAGTGGTTCCTCTCTCCTTCTCAAAACGGTTGTCAGGAGAATGCTTTCAATATTGTCACAAACGCTTTCTTGACCTGGTGTGTGATCTTCATATTAATTAACATTTTCTCTTTTTTTTTTTTTTTTGATCATTTCTAGCTGAACTACTATGATTCTATCAAAGCCGTCATTTCAAGCTCCAACCATGAGCCCACCGCTCTAGTAATAGGTACTGCTCACACTCCCCTTACGTTTGTAATGTTCTCTATGTGCCAGATCCTTGGATGTCTCCCACCTTTATAATTTCTGCATTGCAACAGGCATCCCACACTCTGCAGCTCAAAATGTGACATCCTCCACTGTTCTGTTTGCTTTATAAGCCTCACACTTGGCTCCTGGAGAAGCAGAGTGTGGGAGGGCACTCCTATCACAAGGCTTCACACATACAGAGAGCTCGATCAATATTTGTTGATTTGAAATAGGAGCAAAACCCACTTTGAGCACCCTTAATGTGTCAGAAGATATTAAATATACAGTAATATCAACACAGGACCGTGGTCTTGGGGGATTTGCATGAAGTAGGATTGGGAATGCCTGCAATTCAAAGGCATGCTGGAAATAACAGTTTTCAGTGATGGCAATAGGAAGACCCAGAATCTGAAGACCTTTGCATTGTCTGGAAGCTGGACTTTGGCCAAGTGCATTCAGAGAAAGGCCACGGGAGAACCCAGATCCCAATCCATCCCTCACTTTTACATCCCTAAATGCACCACTAGTCTGGACATGGGCTAGGCCAGGCTGATCTTAGGTCCATGAAGTTGGGAATATGGCAGAACAACTCTGCTATTCACATGGGAATCATTTTGTCTGGACCAGATGGAGGAGAGATGTCCTGGTACAGAGTGAAGAACTGGTCTAGATCTGAACCAAGAATCCAATCCCTCTGTAATGGATCATTCCCATAACAGCTCATGGTCAGAAGTTGTTGCAATCTCTGGCCCTGAACACTAAGTATCAGACACTGTACAAGCTCCTTCTATGTATTATTTTATTTAATCTCCATTAACAACCTTATGGTTTAGGTCCCACTGTTAGTCCCATCTTACAGTTGAGTAAAGTGAAACACAGAGTCATTCATTAACTTGTCCTGGGGTATTGTTCAGGACTTTTTTTTTTCAGTATTGAAAAAAATGTAATTCAAATGCGTAAACAAAAGGAGAATTTTTTTGGCTGGCTCATATAATATGAGAAGGGCAGAAGTGCAACCCAGAGTTGGAAAGTCCTGGAAGCAGGGACTCAGAGGGTACTCTGACTCTGTCTCTCTCTCTCCTCTGCACAGCAGTTCCCTCAAAGGGTGAAGAGCCCATCTCTTATGTCACTGACACTAACAGAGACTGGCTGCCACTCTTAGTCCCCAGTCCCGCTGCCCCTGGGAAGGTTCCCACTGGACCCGTTGGGCCCATCTTTGGGACAATTGCGAGTCAAGTGACCCAGGAAAGGCAGGGACAATAAGAACTTGGCAGTGCCCATTCAGCCACATGACGTATGAAGAGGTATACTTTCCAGAAGTGGGGATGGGAAGAGGGGGTTTACTAGTGACAAAAAAGTGAAGAGTGAAGACTGCACTGAGTCACACATTCAGAAATGAAGACCAAGGACAGGAATCCAGGTCCTGTGTCTTCAAGGCCTGTGCTTGTCATCCTTGGACCTATAATAATGGCATTCCCTGGGCGTGTGCTAGAATTGAGTCCTAGGTTCCTCTTGGAACAATGAAATCTGTCTGCACTTGAAAAAGAAGTAAGGGTGACTTGTGCACATGTCCAGTCTGAGAGACATCCTTTAATCACAATAATATAAATTTTTCTATCATTTTTATATTATTTTAATATTTTTCGAATTTTTTTCTGCTGATTTGCCCTTTGAAGATCTTCTCAATTCCTCACATTTCCTTTATTAAACTTCATACTTATCTTGTGAAGCCCTTGAGAGTATGTTGGAAAGACCCAAACAAATATTCAGCATCACGATCACCATACTTAATTTCCAAGCTGATACTGACAGTGGTTCCTTCCATGTGTTTAGCACTTACTAATTTATAAAGAACATTCACATTCATTAGTGGTTCTCAGTCTGGGCTGCCTTATTGGATCATCTGGGGACTTTATAAAAGCTGGTTGCCTGGTTCTTATCCTCAGATATTCTGACCTAATCGGTCTGGGATAAAACCTAGGTATCAGGACCTTTAAAAGCCGCCCTTCCCCCCACCAGTGATTCTAAAGATTTAAATCCACTATTCGAGGAGGTATGGCCTAGGCATCTGTATTCTTTGGACACTTCACAGTGACATTAATTTGTGGTCAAGGGCAAGAACCACCCACATGCATTATATTTCTTATATGATATTCATGATAGCCAGGTGAGGTATGAATTGTGTGTACACACTCCATTTTACCAGTGAGGACAAAAAAGCCAACGTTTTTTGACCCATTTAAGTGACCCATTAGGTCACTTAGCCGGAAGAGGTGGAATTGGGACTCAAGTCCAGTTTTTCTGACTCCAAGTCCAGTTGATCACCTGCCAGCCCCTAGAGTTAGGCTGGGAAAGTCTATCCCTCGGTTCCTGGGACTTGTTTTAGGACGCCTAGTTTCAAAAGGAAAATTCTGACCCTGGAGCAGAATAAATCTCTGCAGAGAAAAGAAATGTTATTGTCCACCATGGCATAGAGAGAAAGTTGTGGCCGATTAAAGCCACTTTCAATCATCTTAGTGCTCCCTGGATGGGATCCTTGCATACCTGGGCTCAGCAGCAGGCTGAGAAAGGAAATCGTGAAGGGCTCAGACACAGACACTCATGACTGCTGCCCAGCCTGGCTTGCTGCAGAGAGAAGGGGAAGGCTAGGAGGCAGGAGGTGTGTGTTCTTCACCGAGAGGATAGGCATGACTTATGGCATTTCATTTCATTTGCAGGTATTTCCGTTGCTGGGATGATCTTTACCTTTTTCTCTTGGCCTTTCTAACCGGCCCTTACCTCCTCTTTTCCTTCCTGCAGCTTCACCCCTGAATTTTCAGGACCTGCTTAGAACTCTCCAAGCGGTGCATTTATAATGAATAAAATAGTTAACACTTTTTTTAAATGACTCAAAAGTCAACCACCCACATAATGACGACAGCCGTTTCTTTCGTGATGCCTTTCAGCCTAGCTGTGCCTGAGCATTTCTGAGATTTGGAAAGGCTGAAATCCTAGGAGTTTCTTTTTATTTTTCTTTATTCCTCCTTTCCTTTAGAATCTTGTCCTAATTTCACTGAACATCGTGGAAAAATCAGTCATGAGTCATGCCTGCGATCTCAGCCTCCTATCAAATAACCACCTTGCTTCTCCAAGGCCCCTTCTACCTCTGATTCATAGACTTCGAGCTCACGTTGTCTTTCAAGGAAATCTTCCTTTATACATTTCTGATTCACTGACATTTAACTCTCTAAAGCATTAGAAAGAGATGTTCAGTGGCTAAGAAATTTCTTGGGAATTTTCATCAGATGTTCTTGGAACTGGGAAATTGTGGTTTTCTGGAATGATCATGGATATGAATGCTAAGAAACTAAAATTCAGCCTTCAGAAACTGAAGCAGCTAAAATTCAATGTTTGTGCAGAACAGAAACAATAAATCCAGAATGAGGATCTCTGAGTTCTAGCCCCGGCTCGGCAACTAACAGAGCTGTGGCCTCAGGCCTCCATTTCCTTCCTAGTTCAATAAAAATGCTGGATATGAGCTCTAAGGAGCCACCCTGCTCACACTCCTTGATCCCTAATTTTGCCATGAGTCTTCTGTCCTTCCCTTCTTCTTTCTCACGTTCCAGAAAGCAAGGACCACTAAGCGGCTCATACTCTGAACTGAGATTAATTGTCTCTAGAGGTCTAGACAAGTCTGTCATAGGAAGAGTCAGTGCCTTCCCCAACCCAATACCACCCTTGTAGTTTCTCGGACGTGTACCAAGATGAAAATACTGGGGCTCAGAGAGCCTTTGCAGCCAGACCCCTGGAAAAAGCTGCCTGCAGTTGCACTTTCCAAGCCCTCACCTTCCAATCTAAGACCCACTGCAAGCTGGCCTGTGTTCCTGCATGTCTCCATGACTTGCTGCTGGAGTCCCAGAGTTTTGTCCTTGCTCTACTTCTCTTCCATTTTCATCAACCCCTCAGTGATACCCCTCCAGCACCATTGCTGTCCTTCCCCAAATTCATGTGTTCTAGCCTAACTCCACCCCCAAACTTCAGCCTGCATTTCCAACTGCCATGGGTCTCTCTCTACAGGACCTCTCCATTTGGATGTCTCATAGACATCAAAATTAAATCCAAACTCAGATCCACATCTTCTCCCTCACACCACCTTCCCCAACTCAGTTAGTTCTAGGTCCATCCTTCCAGTAGCTCTGGCCAAAACCTACTAGTCACCTTCAACGCTCTCCTCCACAGTCCACATCCAATCCGTTGACTCTGTCTTCATACTGAACCCAGGATCTGGCCATTTCCCCCAGCCCCGCCCCCACTACCATCTAGTGGAATTCACTCTCTTCTCTCCCCTGGATTACCACAGGAGACTTATGATTCTCCCTGCTTCTATCCCTCGCCTATGGGCTCTTTTCTACACAGCAGCCAGAGAGCCTGGAAAATTAGATGTCATTAGATCCAAATCCTCCATTGGGCCCCCGTCTCCTGCACAGTAAAAGCCAAAGTCCTCCAGGGCCCTGTGTGTCAACCCAGCCCTTACATCTCTGGCCTGGTTTCCTACGTCTCTCCCTCATTGTACTCCATCCCACTCACACCAGTTTCCTGGAATATATTTAAGATCTTTTCACCAGATCCTTCCTCTGCCTGGGAGGTTTTCCCTGCAAATGTCTACATCTTTCACTCCCTTGTTTCCTTGAAGTCTTCCCTCAGGTGTTGCTTCTCACTGAAGCCCTCCTTGCCCACTTCATTATACATATCCTGGAAGAGCCCAGTCCCTGCTCCTGGTGTTCCTAATCTTCCTTACCTTGTTCTACCCTTCTCTAAATCCATAAATCCAATCACTTTCTAATAGACTATATAATTTATCTCTTGTTTGTTATTTATGGTCTGTCCTCTCCTATCAGAAGGTGAGCCCCACAAAGATAGAGTTTTCTGTTTTATTCACTGTTGTGTCTCAAGTGCTAGGAAGAGTGCTGGTACATAACAGGTGCTCATTAAATATTTATTGAATGGACTTACCTGTGGCCAAAATTCAAACCACATACCTTTCTCTCCCCAAGTGGTCTTCTGAAGCATTGCCTTCCAGGAAACGTAGAATTCTGTGGTGACAAGTATTTTCCTCCTGTGCTATCTATCCCCTTTCCATCTCCCCATCTACTGCCCCCCCAAGCATGTCCCCACAGTGTCCTACACTCACACCACTGCTTCCATCAGCTATGCATGTATTCACACACACACACACACTCTCTCTCTCTCTCTCTCCTCCACAGGGTGCTATAGCACCAGTTCCCCATCCCTAAATGGGATTTACGAGGGCTCTGTAGAGTAAGAAGTGGTTTCAAGTGCATTCGTTTACTCAAGATGATCAAAGATAAGAATCTCTGACTTCATTCTGGTTACATGTGAACATCAAAGGGAGATACATCTTGGCTGAGGCCATGGAGAAACCAAGGCTGGGTCTTGAATGTCTCCCCTCTGCAGACCTGGGCAGCACTCCATATGTCACAGCAGAGTTGTGGGTTCCTGCCACACTGAGGAAACTGATGGAAAGGAGGAATAAGATAAAAGGAAGGATGGGTAGGAGACACTCCAAGATCTACCTCAAAAGAGGAAGAGTGAAAGTCTGAGCTTTGGGGAAACATGCCCACCTCGTTGCCAATCCTATGGGATTCTGGGAGCCCAGAACTGTGAATGTGGTTTCTGGGTCAGCTCTGGTGTTAGCAGCCACAGAATCCACCTTCCTGTAGGACTCCAGCACCTGAAGACTTATCTGCTAGCTAGTGTGCTGGGGATCAGAACCTGCCTTGAATCTGCTCTAGGTTTCCATGGTGATTGCTTTAAACTTTTCATCATCTTCCTTCAGACCTTGGGGGAGAGCTCTGCTCTCTGGTTTCCATGACAACCATTTAAACATGTATCTCTGTCTGGCTCTGTTGGAAGAGAACCGCTAGAGATCATGCAAATGAACTGGCTGCTCTCCTTTTACTTAAAAAAATAAAAATAAAGTGACACACCTGCTTAGAAGTTTCAGATCTTTGCTCATAACAAGAAGGGTGAAAGCATCAAACTTGTGTTTGAGGAGGGTTTGCTGCATTGCTTTGATACTGCAAGTGCTCACCCAGATACACAGGTTCACTCTGCCATCTTAAGTAATTATCTGCACTCAGCACTTATCCTCCCCTCCCCTATTCTAGCAGATGAAAGAGCTCTGATTTCAAGGTTGTTTACCTTCCTGCTGCATACCAAAGGAGAAAGGGAAGGACAGGGCCAGTGGGACTAGCTAGCTGTCCTACCACTGCTGAGAGAAACTGTGGACAGCAGGGTGTCTCCTCAACTCACCGTCAATAAACTGTCCTAGCACTCAGACTGTAGCCTCAAATAAGGTGGAAATCACATACCCCAGTCATCTGGAAATGGAATTCATGGTCTGGAGAAGAGCCAGGTGACTCTGAGGAAAAAAGTTTCAGAAGAAATGGAAAGATCATGGCCCCCTTTCCCTTCCCAGACACCTTCCTGTCCTCCCCCGCAACAACAAGCTCCCAAACTAGAGGTCTCCAGAGACAGTGGTGGGCCAGGCAGCCACAGACAGATTAAAAACAGAATCCTGTTTTGAAACTGTGCATCAAACTTTAAAATTCTGGAAGTTTCCAATGAAAATAGACACTTCCCATTTCTCCTGAAACTCAGCAGATCTGCATCAGAGTCCTACTTCAGGAGAATCTGCTGGACTGAAGAAGAACAACCCTCTGAGGGGCGCCTGGGTGGCTCAGTGGGTTAAGCCGCTGCCTTCGGCTCAGGTCATGATCTCAGGGTCCTGGGATTGAGTCCCGCATCAGGCTCTCTGCTCGGCAGGGAGCCTGCTTCCCTCTCTCTCTCTCTCTGCCTGCCTCTCTGTCTACTTGTGATCTCTCTCTGTCAAATAAATAAATAAATAAATAAATAAAGAACAACCCTCTGAGATGAAGCAGGCACTGGCTTTGGTCCAGCTTTCCCAAATAGCAAACTCTTCTCCTTGTTCCTGGAAAACAATTGAACTGGTAACTTGTGATAACACACATGTCATCCAGACAACACCAATCATCCCTCAAGTAATCACTGACATCACAGACCATGAAAGAGAATTCTTATTTGGGCATGGGGACAAGGCGAGGATAGAAGATGAAATAGTCTTCCATCTTTTTTATCTGATGCCCTTCAGTCACCTTGGACACAGCTAAGGTCAGGGGTCAGGGTAAGTTAGATGGGGATTTCTTTCATGATCATCTGGTGAGACTATGTCTCACACTGACAGGAAGGCCTTTGATTGCTTCAGTATGCTACTACTATTCTGATTTTACTGTTCAGTAGGTTCGTAAGCCAAAAAGTCATTTGGCTAAAAATATATGTCGGAATAATTGTAGCAGAAAGTTGGCTGGTTCGTGGATGAAACTGATAGGTCAACTCAATGAACCCTCATTTAGGATTTGAGATGTGGTTTTATTGCCTTGTTAATGACAAGTTTGTTAAACCCCGTAGTCTAAACTTTCTTACCTGTCCCATGGAAGACAGGTGCTTGCCTCACTGAGTTTCTGGGAGGTTCAAACAAAATTGTGTACAGAGAGACCCTGGCACAGTGCATGGTACTCGGTACAGATTTATTAGAAGACAGTTTCCTCAGAATGAGTTGGCCCTCTTCACATTTCCTCCTTCCCCCAGATGACCCTTCTTGGCTCTATCTAGAGAAGGAGGAGAAATGAATCTTGCTGTTCTTACCGACACCATTTTCATCCTTCGGACTATCCATGTTGTAACACCAGGGGGTGAAAGAGAAAGAAAAAAGTAGTTCTCACTGAAAGCAAAACCAGGACCTTTAAAAATCAGCAACTTGTCAGGAAATTGATCATATTAAGAGGCTGTGTTTTGTTTTTCTGTGAATATTTTTAGGGTGCACTATGGGAACAACAAATGTCAAGCAAAAGATGAAAGAGATAAGGGGCGTTAGAAAAGATGTCGAGGCAAGAAGAAAACAAGCATTCCTTGGTTTGCCCCAAAGGCGGGCAGAACTGTTTCAAACTGTTTTTCACATCTACAAAGGAGTCAAGGCATTTTCATTCTGTAAGAGAAAGAACTTGCTGCTGACAGGCAGAATGGATCGAATCATTCGAGTCTGGAATCCTTATCTGCCTGGGTAAGTTTTCTTTCTCTCTCCAACCATAAGTGCCATTGATCTAATAAAGTACATGAGAGCAACACAGGGGATCACTAATTCCCTTTTAGGATAATTTAAGAAGCCCTGTCCAAAACTGGTCTCCCATACACTCAGCCCGAGAAACTTCTGTTGATACCCACTAAAGACTCATTCTTTGGGGTTAATAAGTAACTCATTAGCCCCACTTACCAATGAGGAAACTGAAGCTTAGAGGAGTTAAATAACTTTTTGGACATAATGCCAGAACTGGGGTACAAACACATTTTGGCTGATTCTAAAATCCTATGCCATTTCCATTGGTAAGTGTTGAAGATGGAAGGAGAGTGGAAAATGGGGAATAGACTTTCTGTGTACTGATAGTGGGGATTTGGGGACATGAACAAGTCACCTAGGGTGCACCATGCTTCCTCGCTGAGCCTCTGTACCAGGCATCAGTGGAGGACCTGCAAGGTGACCCATGCCCCTCAGCAGGGACAGGCAGGGATGGAGGCAACACCATGGGGGGTGGAGGGCACGTGGGATCTGGTGCTGCTCCTGTCACCTTCTAACACAGTGACCCAGCACAAGAGATGTAGCCAGTGTCCTCCTCATTACTGATGATCACAGGAATCCCCACCCTTCTGGTAGAATAAAGGTCACAGATGAGGTCATCCACATATAGGGCTCTGCACAATGTCTAAACAGAAAGAAAGAAAAATGATTTTCTACCTACTTCTATTACCTTAGACTCCCATTTGTCTGGTGATGGAGAACAATTTGCTTACCTTCCAATAATGTGGTTATAAAATGACATTGTGGTCTCTCTTTCAACCTCAGACCTGCCTCCCTTCTCCCCACCTCCCCACCTTCTCCCTACACACTCAGCCCTGCGACCCTGAGGGCATTGCGATCCCTCAGAGCTCCTTAAAGTAAACTTACATTAAAAAGACAGTCCCCCAAGACCTGAATACTGTTAACTCTGGCCTGCATAAAGCAACCATGTGCCATAGAATCTATTCCCACACCACCCTGTGCTCTTCCTCGTTTATTCCTTTTATAGTGATATTGTCAGCAGTTGGAGAAACAAAGCCTAGAGCTTCATCTCACACTGAGTTGTGTTGCTATAACTGGGTATTATTTGCTTCAGTCCTTTTATCACACAAGATATATACTTGTGTGATTTCAGAAGGAGACATAACCCTCCTCCAGGCTGAATAGAACTGCCAGATCCGGGCCAAGTTTAGTCTTGCATTTTTATTTAGAAATAGCACTTAGAACTGCTTGGTGTTCATCTGTTCTTTTTCCATTCTAGAAAACCAACAGGTATGCTGAAAAGCCACACGGCTCCAGTGATCTACATCCATGTATCTGCTGAGGATAACAAAATATTCTCTATGTCCACCGACAACACTATTAAGGTCTTTGCCCTTTCACATTTTGGATGCATTGTCCAACAGTTTCAGATAGAGATTGTGTTTGTTTGGTGTTTTCTTTCCCCATCTTTGCAGCTCTAGAGGTCTCTGCATTAGCAGATACTCAAATGGTGGTTACATTCGTGGGTTTGCTTTGGAGAAGGAAGGTATGTGGGCAATTGAAGGGTAGTGTCTTAGAGAATTTTCTGTACCAGGTGTTTTGCTGGGTTGAGTAAACCTTGAAACATCTCAGTCCCTGTTTGCATGCTGTCCTGATTCCTCTGGAGAAAGTGTGTTGGAGGATGAAGAGGGGGAATAAGGGATGGAATGGGGACATGGGGGAGGCAACTGGCCCTCGCTACTAGTGCTTATCTTATTTTGCAATACGCATAGGGCAAGTGGGCCCTTTCTGAAATGTTTTCTGTAAGGCTTAGAATTTAAGCACTTCTGGCCCTGGTAGAGGTTGTGGTAACATCACCTTCATTTTGTTTGCCTTCACACTTCTTTCTATATGTAGGGTTCTACCCACCTCTAAAATTCAGCTGTCCTGTGACCTTTGTAATGCACTATTTTTACACCAAAAAAAAAAAAAAAAAAAAAAAGAAAGAAAGAAAAGAAAAGGAATTTTGCTGATTTGCTTTATCCATCATTTCATAAGCTTTTCCAATGAATATGAAAAATTTTCACGATTTCATCCATATTTCTTTCTGTAATATCATGGGGCCAGAGGGTAGGAGTTTAGAACGGTCTGAATCAAAGGAATGCTGAAGCCTCAAACAGGTCAGTGGCATTGCTTTGCATGGGTACATAAATGAGCTTATCAATTACACACGTAATAAATGATTTATAGATGCTATGGGCTGAATCACGTCCCTTCAAAATTCATATGTTGAAGTCTTAACCACCAGTACCTTCAAAGTGACTGTATCTAGAGACAGGGCCTATAAAGAATTAATTAATGTTAAATGAGGTCATATTGGTGGGCCCTCATCCAATATGATTGGTGTCTTTATAGTAGAAATCAGCACACTGAGATGGAGGGACAATCATCTCCAAACATGTGAATACATGGCAGCAGGGGGTCATGTGCAAGCCAAAGAGAAAGGCCTCAGAAGAAAGCAGACCTGCTTATATCTCAATCAAGGACTTCAGTCCCTTACTTCACCCCATACACAAATGTTAACTAAAAGGCTATAGACATAAATGTAGAAAGAGCTACAATTTCAAAACTCTTTGGAGAAGACATAGGAGTAAATCTGCATAACCCTGGACTAGGGAATGATTTCTTAGATGTGACATCAAAAACACAAGAGACAAAAGAAGAAAACAAATGAATTGGATGTTGTCAAAATCAAAACCTTGTGCCTCAGAAAACACCATTAAGAAAGTGGTCAGACCACCTACAGAATGGGAGAAAATGTTGCTGATCACACATCTGATAAGGGATTTGCCTCTAGAATACCAAAAAAAAAAAAAAAAAAAAAAATCTGTATGCTCAACAATAAATGCTCAAATATCCCGGGCATAGGACTTAAATGGAAATTTCCTCAAAGAAAATATTCAAATGGCCAATAAACACAGGACAAGATCCTCCACATCATTAGTCATTATGCAGATGCAAAACACACCCACCATGAGTTACTACTTCACACCCATTGGGATGGCTAAAATCAGAAGTTAGATGATAACAAGCATTGCCAAGGATGTGGAAAAATTAAAGCTCTCCATACCTTGCTAGTGGGAATTTAAAATGGTGCCGCCACTTTGGGAAATATTTTGGCGGTTCTGTAAATGCTAACCATGGAGTTACCATATGACCCACCAATTCTACTTCTAGATTTAAACCCAAGAGAACTGGAAACTTATGTTCACATAAGATCTTACATATGAATATTCATAGCACATTATTCATAACAGCCAAAAAGTAGAAATAACCCAAGTGTCCATGAATAAACGAATGGATAAACAAACTGTGGCATATCCATACAATGAAATATTATGCAGCAACAAAAAGAAATGAAGCACTAATATGCGTCACCACATAGATGAACCTTGAAAAAGCTTATGTTATGTGAAAGCCAGTCACAAAAGACCATGTATTGGCCGATTCCATTTGTACGAAATGCCCAGAATAGGCAAATCCACAGAGGCAGAAACTAGTTTAGTCGTTGCTGGGGGGATGCAGTGAGGTGGGACAGGGAGTGGCCACTAATAAGTGTGGGGGTTCTTTCTGAAATAATAAAAATGTTTTGAAGTTAGACAGTGGTGATGATTGCCCAGCCCTGTGAATATGCTAAAACCCACTGAATTATACACTTTAAAAATGCAATTTTTGTGAGATGTGAATTATATCTCAACAAAACTATTATTTTGTAAAGGAGGGGGAGGGAAGAGATAGAGAAGTCAAGGGAGACGCCAAGGCTTTGGGCCAGAGCCCACTGAGACATGGTGGGGCAGATGGTGGGGAAGAGGAGCATCAGACCAGGAGCTCAGTTGTGTATGTGTTGGATAGAGTCATCCTGAGTTGAGGGGAGATGTCGGGGCTGGAGACATAAATTTGGAAGTCATTAGCATTTAGATGGAATTTTAAGCCATGGAGGGGATGAGATGGAAAAGAGAGCAAGAGTGAGCAAGGGGGAGAAAAGCCTCAAGGAGTGTATTCTCACTTTGTGTGGGGTCTGACATGGTTCCCGTAGAGTGAGCTCAGAGTCCATGTCCTGGCAACCAAGAGGACACTTTACACAAAATTAGGTGTTTAGATCATGGTCAGTGATGTAACTAGGACCCAAACTCAATTCAGTCCTCCAAGCAAATTTGATTAAAATAGGAAGACTTGTGGACTTCAATATTTGATTTCTTTTGAAAATTGAATCTATCCTAAGGTATCCTCCAAAACCATAAAGTTGGGGACTTCATATTTTTAATGAGTTTTTTTTTTCCTTAAAACTTGGCACCACCAGATAATCATAATTCTGTATGTGAGGACACGTCTCCTATCCTATTTTCTTTTCCTAGTGCCTCTCCATTTTCTTCCAATCTAAAATCATGATTACAAGATTAGCATCTTGCCTGTGATGATTCAGGCATATTGAATCACTTCCCAAAATGTGTTTAAAATATATTGAAATCCTATCTTGGAAATATGGTGTGTAATTTATTTCAGAATACATTATTCCTATCAAATAAAAAGTAATCAACCAGGAACCAAACAGCTAAATTTCTAGCATGCCTGATCAGATAGTCTTCGTTCTTCAAATTGATTTTTCAGCTCAAATATTTCACTTTTCTATATCGTGGGGACACATGAAACATTTTAGGAGTCTGCTAGTTTCTGGCATTACCCTAAAGGAGAGTAAAGTGACAGGTTTGGTTTTCTGTTTTCACTTGTTATTTTCTGTGAATTTAATACTGCACACTACAAAGAGGGCTGTTTTGTGTCAACAGGAATTAGCATAGAAAGAAAGTTATTTCCTGAAAGAAGATAGCATGTATATTAGTTAAGGTAATGCTTGCCACTGTAAAAAATAAACCCTGTATTTTCCATGGGTTGAGACAGTAGAAATTTATTTCTGTTTGCTGTCATACCCAAGGCCGGTACTCCCAGTAAGGAGCACTTTTTTCTCCCATTTAAAAACCATGCTGTCTTCATGCAAGGTCCCTAGGTTCTCAGAGTCTTCTTCATCCCAGGACAATGGGCATGATAGCAGATACGGCATATCTGCCTCTTAAAAATCCCAGCTATAAATGACCCATCACTTTCTCTTACACTCCACCACTGAATTCATAACACTGGGTGAAGGGAAACCAGGAAATCCCTTAGTTTGGTGTCCACTCCCCAGCAACTCCTTTCCACTGTGGACAGAGAAGCCTGCATTTGGGGGTTGGTACACAGCATGCTTTGGAGAAATACAGACTTGAGTTATACTCTGAAACTACCAGGAACTAGATGACCTTGGGCAAACTATTCAACCCTTCCGAACTCAGTGACTTAATTCTCTTGGACATTGGTCACTCTACTGTAAAATGGAAGAAAGACCCGCCTTGTAGGTTAGTTGTGCTCATAGAAGATAATGGATGAATTGTGCTCACAACAGAGTAGCTTTACTAGGTAAGACTCTTTTGAGCCAAAGAGACAAAAATCGAACTCAAGTAGTTTAAGCTTAAAAAGGCAGATTTATTGGTTATTGAAACCAGATCACCAGACAGATGACCTCATGGACAGCTGGGTTCAAGCATGGCACTCTTTTTCCCACGCTCTCTGCCTATACTTCCTTGGTGCACACTGATATTGACTTCTAGTGCAGAAAGGCAATCTCCTTCTGAATGTCGGGACCATTGATTCCCAGTCTGAACTCACAGCCCAACTACAGATTTGCTATCAGCTCCAGCCAGAAAAATCTAAGGGAAGACACAGATTGACCAAGTTTGTGTCTCTTGCCTACTGCTTGCAATCAGAGAGGCAATTCTCCTAACAGAAGACAGAAGGGTGCTGGACAGGCCATACATAAGTCAGTGATGTCAATTTGTTGTAGCTACTTTGGGGATGTAATGCCAACTTGCCAACTCAACCTCAACAGCAGTAGGAAGACTTCCTTCCTACCTTTCCCTTTCACAGACCTCACAGGGGTCCCTCTATAACATCAAATAAGATCACTCTGCCAGGCTCCAGAATTACCTCATCCTCCCCCTCATCAAAACTCCCTCTCTTTCAGTAATATTACCTCATGAAATAAGAAGAAATTACCAGATTAATGAATTCCCCTGGTGGTATAAGTGACTGATAAAAAAAACTATGTGTGTTACTTTTCTATCTAGGAAAATCAGCATTTTCAAACAATTCAATACTCCAGAAAGGAGTGGGAGATGCCCCTTGAACAAGTAGTCCTTGGGATCATGTTTCCATGGGATTATTTTACCCTGATCGCTACTGTCACCCCCATACTTGCCTCCCAGAGTGTATTGCTTCCCACCTTTTACACCATGACCTAAAATCACAGATGAAAAAGGATGCTAGAACTTTCTACATGACTTTGCTACCTGCTGGGGAGAACTAACGAAAATCAACAGTGTAAATACAACAAATAAGAGTCTGGCTTACCGGGTAAAGGCTTCCAATTTCTTGCTAGCTGTTTCGCTTCCGGGAGTCACAAAGGAGGGGAAAGAAGCCCCATGTACATCCCGCCCAGTTTAGTCCTCAAATTTTCCAGCGCACCTATGGAGGGAGAGAAGTCTGAAAAGGACTCCTACTTTAGCTGCTCACTGCGCCTTCTCCCTCTCTCTGTGTCTGTCTCCGAATTTCCCCTTTTTACAAAGACACCAGTCATATTGCCTGGGAGTCTGCTCTACTCCGGCTTGACCTCTTCTTAATTAGTTGCACTAGCAACAACCCTATTTCCAAAGAAGGACACACTCTGAGATACTGAGGGTTCTTCAACATACAGACTTGGGGGGGAGAGGAGAGACAGAATTCAACCTGGAACAGAGTAAATGAAACAATGCATGGGAAGCATGTAACGCAATGCCTAGCTCACTGAACAACAGCTGCCTCCGTGATGATTCCTTCTTCCCGGTTTTACACTTGGCCCATCTGCTCTTCCCCATGGATGAGGCCAATCCCTTGAGCTCTCATCAGATTGCAGTACCTTAAAATAATACAAGAGCTGTGGCATGGCTTGCATAATAATCCCAATAAATGATTAACAATAACATTATCATTCTAATCATTTACCATTATACCATGGCCCAGTTGTGATGGTAAACACTCTTTTTTAATTAATATTTAAAAATCCCCAAGATTTTAAATCCTGTAAGATAGGCATTATTATTAGTCTCCCTATTTTACAGAAGAAGAAACTGAAAGGAGGTATGGTAATATGGCCAAGGCCACAGAGCCATTAAGCGATAGGACTGGGATTCCAACCCAGGCGGTGGGGAGGGTGATGGGGGGTGGGGGTTGGACCTCCATGTCCTTACCCAATAGCCCTGCTGAGGTTTGTTCCCAGAGCCCTCCACATATCCGCCTCAGGGCTGGTTTTGAGGAACTGTATTAAGAAATGGGAATATATCTAGGGGATAGAGAGGGAGTCTGTGTGCCCATCAGACCCACGATATCAAAACTCCACGATATCAAAACTCCAGGAGCTGAGAAGACACTGGCGGCTCCTGCTTGGGGGGTGGTGAAGCTCAGCTCCAGGCCCTTTGGGCAGCTTCAGCATGGCAGAGGGGCTTGGGAACAAGAGCCCTGCTCTCTGCTTCCTTTACAAATGCAGAGGGGAAAGGAAGCACTTTGAACATTTTCCTTTGGGTGAGGGGAGAGTGGGGCAGCCTTTAAACTTAGGTCGGTCCTAACCAGACCCCCGCCACAGGTGACAGCTTCGGAAAAGCACAGCAAAGCAGCCTGTTCAAGACCTCCGATTAACTTTTTTTCCTCATCTCCCCACTCCCCCCGCCCCAGATCTGGGATCTAGAGACGGACAGCTGCTTGTTTACCGCATCCTCCAAAGCCGGCGGTATTAAGGGGGACTTTGCAGCCTGCCTCTACCTCCCTGAATCCAGATCCCTGTGTGTGGCCACTGACACGGTAGCACTCCTACACCTGAGACTGAGGTATGAGGTTAGCCTCTCGGCCCCAGGCTGCTTGCAACCTTCTATGGAACCATCCATAGCTGAGATCTCTGGGGGAGCTCCTGAGCTCTATGGCCCCATGTCTTTATCTCACAGCATGTATTTGGTGAGCTCCCTTGAACATTTCCCATTGATTACTCCAGCACCACCTCCTTGGATTACCCAAAACTCTGGAATCTACCTCTTAAACCCTTATTGACCCACTGGCCCTACCTCTCTAGTGAATTGTCCAAGAAGCCCTGGGGGCTTTTAATTCAGTCCAAAAGCATCAGACCCACTTGCTGCAGCATGTCCCACATGTGAGACCCTGTCCGTACAGCAAGGTAGTCACTCAGGGACAGCACAAGCTCCAGTGATGGACAGGTCCTTATGGAGGGTCCCCTAGTGGGCTTTTCCTGCCCAGGGCCTCAGTCTCAGGGAGCTCAAATGCCTTCAAGACCCATCTCCCTGATTCCTCCACAAATGAGTCCATCTTGATTTCCTTGGCACAACTTTGCAAGCCACACTTCTTTTCCTCCTTGGCCAGGAAAGTGGGTGCCCGGTTGTCTTTTTCACACTCAGGGTAGTCATTGAGACGTTCATCTCCTTAGCATGAATGTCCACTTCAGTGCCCGTCCCCGTCCTGCTAGACTGAGACTGCCAGGTCTTACTGAGGAGTTTCAATCCTACCTCCCGGGAACCCACAAGTCACCCAGGGCAACGCTGCTGCCAGATTTACAGATGAGCGAGCAGAGGCCTGGAGAAGGGAATGAATTGCTCAAGGTCAAGCGCGGACTCAGGAGCAGAGCTGGGACTAGAATGCCTCTCTCAGGATGCCCGGCCCACTCCCTCCCCCTGCGTGGTGCTCCTCCCACTGGAAGGGCAGAAGTCTGTCTGAGACACTGAAGGCAAAGGAGAGCTCAATTTGTCTGTCTGTTTGTTTAATTAGACTACAGGAGGTGCATTGTCTAGTCTTCCTTCTCCAGAGCCTGCAGAGCTCCTAAGAGGCACCTGTGAGCAGTAGAGAGAAGGCTCTGCCTCCTGGGCCCAGTGGCCTTGGGGTGAGTCACACCCCTGTCCCTGGTCTTGGCAGGGCTGGCAGAACGTACCATCTGTGCTTTGAGAATTTTCAGGCTCTCTGCACACCACAACTAGGAGCATCATTACAGCCTCATAGTTCAAACCTGGCCCATGATTAGTCACCCCACTCTGTTACCCCCACTTGTTGCCCTGACATAAATCCATCCCTCATTCCCCACCTGCAGCTTCCCCTCTCCCTGTTCGGCAAGATAACAGATTTCTATAGTCTTTGTAAACTAAGGAGAGGAGGCAGAGAAGGATTAGGCTGAATATTGTGGTCTGCAGGGTTCACATCCCATCTATATGATAATGGCAACTGGATTTCCTGAGCCAAAAATGATGGCATACTGTCTCGACAGGTGGGTTTTAAGGGGAAAAAAATGTGTTTGGATGTCTGGGTGGCTCAGTTGGTTAAGTGTCTGCCTTCAGCTCAGGTTGTGATCTCAGGGTCCTAGGATCGAGTCCCACATCGGGCTCCCTGCTCAGTGGGGAGTCTGCTTCTCCCTCTGCCTCTCCCTTCTGCCTGCTGCTCCCCCTTCTTGTGCTTTCTCTCTCTTTCTATTATATAAATAAATAAAATCTTTAAAAAATTGTGAACATATGCCTAAGAGGAACCTGAAATATGTTTACTATGTCCAGTGGTTAAATCACAGATCAAGAATAACTTTACAGAAAAGTGATCAGATTTCGCAGCATCAAAACCCTATTGAGAAGTCCAGAACGTAAGGCTGCTGCCTATGCCTGGACCCACCCTTCCTCATGTTTCCCTGAGGCCATGGGAACGGCCAGTGAGGATGGGGAGCCAGGGCAGAACAACCATACTACCAAAGGGTACCGTCAGACCTGCAAAGGCATGCCCTTGGCTCAGGATGCCAGAGCAACCCTCTGAAAGATGGGACTACAGTCAGTCCAATGGCCATTTGTTCAACCTGACATCTATGGGTAGAAAGACAGCCTGTTGGATTGATTTCCTTTTTTTTTTTTTTAAGCAAAGTGACTGAAATTCCACCTTGCAGCGAGAACAGCCCTAATCTCTTAGCGCCAACCCTTAGGCAACAGATGACATCTGCCCGTCCCTGCTCTGTCACAGGGAACTTTGTGATGTTGATCAAGTCACCTGGTCCTTCTTAGCCTTCTGGAAATGTCCTCATCTGTGAAGTTGGGGGGGGACTCGGCGCCTTCCTCCCCACATTGGGGAAGGGGTGTAGGTAAGGTCCAGAGGCTCTGGCTCCAGGCCTGGCACTTTCTCCCTGGGACAGCACCCCCACTCCCTGCCTCCTCCTTCCCCACAGGCCAGACTTCCCCTGGAGTAGTCCAGAGACCACTCATGGGAAAGTGCTCCTCTCCTTCTGCCAAAAGCTATTCTTCCTTGAAAAGGATTCCACCCTCTGGGAATCTTCTGGCACTAATTTGGAGGCTTCAGGTCCACCGAATCCCTATTAGGATCCTAGCCTTGGGGCTGAGCACTGGAAGGACCATCAAGAGAGAGGACAGAACAGTAGGTCTGGGAACCAACATTCATTTATTAAGTGTTCCCCCCACACCAGGCTTCTCCAGACATTGGACATCCTTTTCCTCACTTACTCCTCACAAAATTTCTATAAAGGGTTCCATTTTACAGATGAGGAAATGAGTGCAAAGCAATTGGATTGCATAACTCCTAGAACTATCCCTTCTGTGCCCTGTCCTCACAGAGGGGACACACAGGGCAAGGCCTGAGTGCACAGAGGCGCCCTTAGCCCCGGGTTCGTGTGGGAGGCACACAGCAGGGCCTCGTCCCTGTTGTGATCGAGAAACACTGCACTCCAGGCTTGAAGACTCGGGATGGGATGGTACAGTTGGTGTTTGTTTGAGGGAAGATGTAAATTCTTAGGGAAGAAGGTCCACTGTGTAGTTGTGGGAAATCACACTTCTCTTGCCCTAAATAAGAGGCATGTGGTATCATTTTTCATGGTGAGCAGCTACTGCTTGCTGAATGCCAATTAGATAGTATGGGGGTCTGTGGGAAGGATATTCCATAGGTTTTCTCAAACAAATACTCAAAACAACCCTTTATAATAGATAACATTATCCCCATTTAAGAGATTAAAAAGGTTAGAGTTTTCAGCATTTAAACAACTTGTCCAGGGTCACAGACCTATTTTTATCCTCTTCACCTTTTTTCTTTAAAGATTTTAATTAATTTATTTATTTGAGAGAGAGAGAGAGAGAGCGAGCATGTGCACAGGAGGAGAGGCAGAGGGGGAGGGAGAGGGAGAAAGAGAGAATCTTGAGCAGACTCCATGCTGAGCCTGGACCCAACAGGGTGTGGGACAGGGAGCCTCAATCTCATGACCCTGAGATCACAACCCTGAGATTGTGACCTGAGTCGAAACCAGGAGTCATAAGCTTAACTGACTGAGCCACGCAGGTGCTCCCTATCCTGTTAACTTTTCTTAATAAAGCAATAGATGCCTCATCCACAGTGTCCATGGCATACCTTCAGTTCAGGTTTTCATCCTTTCTGTTTTTCCTGAGCAAGATCTCCGCCAGAGCCGTGCCTGGTGGTTTCCCACCAAAAGCCCGTGGTGTGCTGCCGCTACAACCTGGCCTTCAGGCAGGTGGTCAGCTGCTCCGAAGCATCTGTAAGTATCAGCTCTCGCTTTCTTTAGCAATGATGGATTTGTGAGCATGGGCCCAACCCCATCGTCCTCGCCTTGGAGCTGAGCAGAATGTTCTGGGGACATTCTGGCCCTGGAGGTTAAGAATTCTACTAGACTTCTTCAACTCTACTATTTATCAAGTATTGTTTGGACACTCTTCTTTGAAAGCTGGGTGGAAGAGCTCACAGTTTCCCCAGTGGCTTGTAGTGTGAGCTCTTTGGAAGACCCATCGGGTACTAAGGAATGATATTATTTCATGGTCCTGTAAGATGATTAACGCAACCCTATGACTTATCTTGTATCTCTAATCTGGAGCTGAGGGTATAGAGCATTCCACGTTCACTTCCCCATTCACTGGCACTCACAAGGATCATGCTGGCCCCCTCCTAGATGAGTGACGCAGTGTCTGGTCTACAGGAGAGGACATAACCAGGGTTCCTTGAATAAGGAGTGAGAGCAGAGAAGCACGCACATCCCATAACCCATGTCCTTCTGTCCTTGAGCTAATGGGGGCAGGGCAAGTACATCCCAAGTATACTCAAGATGTTTAAGTGTTTTGAAATCTAAATCATTGGTTCATTCATTTTCTGAATCACTGGCCTAGGCTCTTGCATTATAAGCCAGTGTCCCAGGCCATCTGGCTGTGCCCTCTTTCCTTCTTCCTGTAGTTGCCTGGCACACCCTGTCTTTAGGTTTTATAGTCCTGGGGGGCACCACAGTCTGGAAGTCTGGACCTGTGCTCTTCATGTTCACACTCACGTTGGCATTGCTCCCAGTGAGACACAGTTGTCTTTGCATATGTTCTTGCCAGTCACTCAGCGATTAGTCATCAGCACAGTTTTATTAAGTATTGAAAGAAATAGATTATTTGGTCTGTTGATCAAAAGTTTTTTATGATGACTCAGTCTCAATTCATCTCAAGGAATGTAGATTCCTGCATAGTTGGGACTCCTACTTATAAAGGAGCATTTTCCCTCCAGATTTATCAGAACAACCTGTGACTCCAAGGACGCCAACCTTCTGGTCTCAGCATCCTGCCCAAGACTGTCCCTGGAGCTGTCCAACATTTTCCAATCTCCACCCTGGAATCTCCTGCTTCCTCCTCTTCTCTTACACTCCACAGCAATCCTTCAAGGTCCAACTCAAGTGCTCTCTCTTCCACAGATCTTGCCTTCACTGCCCTGGACTCATATAAGCACCTCCTTCTTCCTGAACCCCCAAGTTAGTTCCTCCCAGGTGGTGCTAGATTCAGTTCTCACTTGTCCTGCTTTGGGTCACACGTGTGAGCCTTTGCATCTCTTATCATTCACCAGGCACTTAGGGCAACCTGCAGCTCATCTATGTTTCCCTCCTCTTCCTTCTTGATCTGTCAAAGCCCTTCTTATTCTTCAATGCACAACTCTGGATATCAGTTCCTCTGAGAAAATTCCTAGATCCCTCCCACACCCAGGCAGAAGGAAGGGCTCCATTACCATTTGGGCTCCTAATTCTATGCTAACACAGTCAGCCTCCTTCAATAGCATTGCTTTTGATAACGCATATCTTCCCTGCCTGTGGGTGGTAAGGAGATGTTGAATTGAGATATAAATACTCTCTCAGCTCTTAACTGTATTAGGCACATGCTGGTAAACTCTCAGATACTTACTGAATTGAGTTATTGATTTGAGTATTTGCTCACCTTGAAGATCTGTGTGAAATCTTTATAACCCATGCCCACTGTCATGACTCACAGTATCTAAGCCACATTACAGCCTATATTTGTGGAGGAGAGAATGTAGCCCAAGGTCTTCATGATGCCTGAAGTTATTAATACCACTACACCATATTTTATTCATTGAGTTGCCTAGCAGAAAACTAAGGACCACCAACTTTTAATGCTTCTGAAAATTTTATGCTTGAAAATGGCGCCATGTAAACTTAATAAATACTCAGTTAAATGTTTACAATGTATGACATTGGAACCACAACTTATTTACATCCATATCGATATATCCAGTTATATGTACCATGGAAGTTTACTTTTCAGGAATAATGAACAATTTTTCAAAAAAATAAAAATTAAAAAATTAAAAAAAGAATAATGAATAATTTTTCAATGGAGTTTAAGGCTACAAATACTTTGTAAATTTTTTAAAATGTAATAGCAAGATTACATTTCATTTGGGATGTGGTTGCATTTTAATATGTTTAATTGAATGGGAACTTCAAAAGGAAGCCTCGCTTGGGGCAAGGAAGTTCTTAGAGGAGCCCTGCTAGGGCATGAAATCCCATCTACAAAATGCACCTGAAAAGTATAAATAGCACGTTTAGACTTTTCTTTGTTCTATAAATAGAACCCTAAAGTCATTTTTAAAGATATTTTAATTGCTCGCTTCAAACTTTTCACTCCCATTTCCTGCGGTAGCTGGCAGTGTTCTTGGGGGAATTTCTTTTTAAGGAAACAAACGTGTGACTATTTAATCACTTAATGGGAAGACAGGTCCAAAGGAAAGATGTCTGTGTTGGGTATCATCCAGGGCTTATCTGCCCCACTCTGTGCCCTTCTGCTCATTTTTCCATGCCAACTGGTACTTCATTCAATTCTGGACCTCAACCATATTACAAATCACTGTATGTTGTGAAGCTTTGGGATGTTTGCAAATGTTGGAATAACTAAAGTAAAACCCAGTAATGCTAAGGGTCTATTGCAAAATTAAGGAGAGCAAATGGATGTACCTGAGTTGTGGACATCTCCAGGAACCCTGACACTATAAGAGGACAGAGGGGAAGGAAACAAAGTGTACACTACAAAAATCTGGTCTCAGGTATTTGAAATCAACAACAGTGAGAGGATGCCTTCTGGTTTTGGGATCAGAGACCTGGAAGTCTCTCTAGGTTGATGAAGCAGACTCTTTCACAAAGTGAAAGACTAAGAGGAACAGTCAGTAGTTCTGAGAAAGAGTGTGTCCTCAGGCATTTTCCCTCTCTTCCTGTCACTGCCTTTGGGTACAGGCTCCAGAAAGCCTACCCCAGAGGATGCTCTCCTTAGGGTGGGCACTTACTTACCCACAGTCATGAAAGATGCCTCCCCTCTCCCTTCACAGATGATTCTCATTCAAAGGTTGCTCAAGGGATGGGGCTGAAATAAAGCAATTCCCCCCTGGAACTAGTTGGATTGAACAATATCTTAAAGCTGAGGGTTTAGAAGATATGTCCATCCCCCCAATAGGCCATTTTTCTCATTTGGCTTTGTCTTGGTGCCAAATAAATTTTGCTGCTCAAAATTCAATCCACACTTATTTCTCTGATCCTCAGTAGTCAGGGGATTTTTATCCAAAGATTTCTAAATTTTCTCATCTTCTCGCTGAGTGTTATGGGATAAATTGTGTTCCCCCAAAATTTGATGTTGAAGTCCTCACCCCAGCTGCTCAAAATGTGATTATATTTGGAGATAGAGCCTTTAAAGAGGGGATTAAATTAACACAAGGTTGTTAGGGTGGGCCCTGATCCAATCTGACTGGTGTCTCTATAACAAGAGGAAATTTGGACACATAGAGAAACCCTGGGTGTGCATGCACGGGGGGAAAGACCATGTGAGAACACAATAAGAAGGTGGCCGTTTGTGAGCCAAGAAGAGGCATCTCAAAGGAAACCGAACCTGCCAACAACTTGATCTTGGACTTCCAGCCTCCAGAACTGTGACAAACTAAATGCCCATTATTGAAGTCCCACATTCTGTGGTATTTTGTTATGCAGCAAACAAATACACTGAGGTAAGCCAACTTGCATTGGACTTACAGATGGATACTTTCAGGGTAAATTTTCATCTTTCATATCCAAGACAATAGACTTCTAAGTGCAAATTCCCTTTAATTTGATAACCATTCTCTCTGTGTCACTTGTTTCCAACTTCCGGATACAGGTGATAAAAGTGTGGGACTTCGAAACAGGAAGACTGTTGTCTGGATTTACTGGGGCTCATGACAATGCTGGAATCACATGTCTGACCTTTGACACCAGTGGAAGAAGGTATGTGTCTTCTTCAGTCTCTTCAACCATTAGGCAGTGAGATCCCTGACATGATTTCCTGACAGGAGACTGTTTCCTAGGCTAATCACCGGGGGCAGAGACGGCTGTCTGAAAATATGGAGCTACAACAACGGACATTGTCTGCACACACTGAAACACGGCAAGTCGCTTCCTACCAAGTGTTCCTATAACATAATGATGTGGGATTGGGCATTTTTTGTCAGTGTAGAAGAGACAAATGAGATGGAGTCTAGAATGCATGTAACAGTCCTGTGTCCCTTCATTTTACCAATGACTACACTTCTACTGAGGAGAGCCGTACGTTACATAAACATATGTGCTCCCAGCCGAGCCTCGTGTACTCAGTCCTTTATTACCTGGTATACTTATTTGAGTTCTCGAACGAGCTTAACTTTTCCGAACATTTTAAACATCACACAAGTCAAAATCTAGACAAACAAACTAAAAGCTAGTCTGTTTTGTGCATTATGGTGATCCCCCCCCACCCGCCCAAGGTGGCTTTATTCCACTAGTTCACATGCTGTGCCTGATCTTGGTAGAATTTCCACAATTCTGGCCTGTCACCCTTGTATGAGCAAGATAAAAGGCAGATGGTTTTCAACTCTCAGAGAATATAAATGAAGTAGAAGTAAAAAAGACAAAAATCACTCAGGGTAATGAATTTGTGATTCCCAGATCTGCTTTTGACCTGCATGCATTCACTTGTTCACTCACGCTCAGCAAGTGTTGGGCACCAAGGAGGGTCCTGTAAGCAGAAGGCCAGCCTCTTCCCAGAGCTGAGCAGGGGCGGGGCCAGCCTTTTAGGGCAATGAGTGTAGCCGGAAACCAGCAGTGCTGTGGGGCCTTGAAAGACAGCTAACTGTGATCTGAAAACTAGAAAGTCATTACTGAAGTTTTCCCCAGTTATCAGTTTGTTTGAGTCAATATGTTCAAGCTGGTTCAAGAACCGGTAAAGAAAAATGTCTAATATACTTTGATAATGTGATCTTTCTAGATGAAAAGCAAAGTGAAGTCTGTGATTGCACCTACGTGGAGGTGAACCAAAATAAGTGAGTTTTATTTGGCTTGGATATAGAGAGGCATCTTTCTGATAGAAAATCTATCCTGGAGGAGGACACCAAGAGAGTGAAGGGAATTTTCCAGAAGGAAATGGGTCAAAGAATTTCTGAGGATGCCAGTTGCTCCCTGATGGTAATTCAGGCGGCTAGGCTCTTCTAGAATATTATAAGCAATTCTTTGCCCATTTTGATGACTGCTTAGAGGTAGAGATAGGGAGCACTGTCTCTCCACCAAATGCTTTCTAAAGGAGTAAAGCAGACTAGATCACTAGAGTAATGAAATTTAGCACCCACAAGTCAAAGAATAAACATCCCATAACTCCTCTCCTGAACACTATGAGTGAAAACAATTCCTGATCAGTTTCTGTTTGTGCCTTGCCTCCATGGTTCAACAAGGCTGTTAGGATAGAGTAAGCCTCGGGAGTGCAGCTGCTCACAGAGCATCATCTATAGATCTTGGAAATTACAGAACCCTTAAGTACGAGTGAAAACACTGACCCTAATTTATCCAATTACGTTTTATCTTGTTCTTCATAAAAACTCTCTGGCTGTCTCCATTTATCCACAAAGACATGGCAAAATTAAACCACAGCCTTGACTGCAGGCAAAAATTAAAGAGATAGTAAGCTTAAGTATTGAAATGTGCTACTCTGTTACTGTTCTAGGTGTATCATAGCTGTTGGATGGGACAGAAGAATAAATGTATATTTTGTAAGTGGAATATACAAAATTAGGTATTCAAAACCCTGCTTCCTATTGCCATCCTCCCCCCACCCGTGGATTCTTTTCCCACTGAAAACAACGTTTGTAGTAATTCCTCATGCTTCTTCTCTTTACTACAAGTCATGATATAGACAGAAGAACTCCCCCCTCCTTCCCTTTCTCCCTTTAAAAAACCTTTTTTTAAACGTTTTTTGTTTCAGTCTCTTCCCTCTAGTTCTCTCCTATGGGAAGAAGTGTAATGACTCTGCACACAGTTCTGGGAGGGGGTGGGTCCTACACCAAGAAGCAAGTGTCTGACACCAGCTGTTGTCCTATAATTCAGCTCAATCCTGACACCATCTCCCTGGAGATGGTATTGGATCCCACAGGTTATGGGCTTAGTCTCACAAGCTGGTCCTTCTTGTCCCTCAACTTCAGAGACCTCCCATGCTCCCATCACTTAAGAAATTCCAAAGCTTTTGGGAGTTATCTGCCAAAAATGGGGACCAAGACCAAATACCTGTTTCTTATCATAAACCACAATACCACAAAGTGTTAGCTAGAATTGCTATCAGAGGCACAGAGGACATCCCCAGGAATCCAAAGCAGACCATGCCTTGAACGCGTAGCTCTCCACACCTTGCCTTGTGCTCTTACTCCTTGTACAGGCTGGCATGCTCCCTCCTCCCCTGCGTACAGGGCCTTCAGCTGTATCTCACATACCCTTATCCCTAACTGAGGGTTAACCTCCCTATCAACTGTGCAGCCCTTTATTTATTTCCTTCTTCCTCCCACTTTGTCTTTCTGCCCTAGTTCCTCTCTAAGTGGAAAGAGGAGATGAAATGCCATCCATAAGCAGCTCTATGGGGGAAAAAATTCTCTTTTTATAGCTTAGAGAAGGGGAAGGGATTCAGAGACAGGGGAAGCTGAAAATGCTGACTGCAGCTAAGTTTTAAATCTACCTGTGACATTTTATTTCCCCTGCTTGCTATGCTGGATGGTCATGGATTTCCGACGGTCTTTAAACATTGTAAGTTCTTTATTCATTTGAAGGTGTACCATATTTCACAGCCTAAGCCTTGCATCCCCAGATGATTTGAAAGATGGCTACCTGAGAAGCCCTGACGTTGAATTCGTCCTTTGGTATTATAGGTTCCTGAGCTGAAGGCTTTTGTTTTAACACATGCAACAGCTATGGGTCTTATTATGAAGGCAAAGCTGTGCAGACCATCCAAGCAGGGTTTGTCAGTTGACATATGATTTGTTGAAATGCAATCACCCAAACGTCAGAAGTGGATTGCTTTTTATTCCCACCAGCACTAGGGGAATTTGCTTTGACATTTCGAAAATCTACATCACTGGTGGGGTGAGGGGTAGGGTTATAAAATGTGCCAACACCTTCTCTCTGAAGTTGTGAGTGTGTTGGCAGCTCATTTCACTGCTTATAGAACGTCTCCTCTTTGGCTTTACATACAGGATGCACCACGTGACTTTCATCACTTCTGGAAGCCCCAGCCACACTGGCAGGATGACCTGGTGAGCCCCAGTCCACTGTCTGACTTCCACCCAAACAGGGGCACATGAGACAGATACCTTTCAGTCCAAGGCTCTGCTGTGGCATGATTCATGATGGGTCCAGGTAGAGCTGGGAGCTTGAGCTCCAAGTAGCCACTTTCCCTCCAGGAAGAGTGACAGCTGGGGCATGGGGCCACAGAAACCAATCCATGCAACTCTCTGTGAGCTCAGCCACGACTCATGTCGTGCCGGAATGGCAGCCCAAGACGTGGTGGGTGTAACGTTGCTCAAAGAAGCCTCTACTTCCTGCTTCTGCTTGGCATGCAAAATTATATGCAATTACTGTGTCATCCTTGGGCAGCCACAGAGCCTAAGAGCTTACATTCCTGCCCTGTGATTTGTTGGGGACCCATGAGCAGGGAGTTCTTGTGATTCTTATTAGCAAAGTGCCCCCCCAACTTTCTATAGCCTCCCAGGGTTGAATGACCTTTCTCAAAATTGCCTGGATGCCAAGCCAATAAGACAAGTGCTAAGAAAGAAAAGTCACTGTACCCAACCATCAGCTGCCATGGCTCAACCCTACCTTATACGCCCATAAATATTCCAAAAGAGACAAGTCACTAGAATACAAACTCCAGGAAACCAGACCTTGTCTGTCTTCACCATGGTATTCCCAGGACCTAGCCCAGCATCTAGTTTATAGCAATGCCCAATTCATTTGTTTTCATTCAGCTAGCATATGCCAAAGGCCTATTGTGGGCCGAGTCTGCTTTATTCACTGAAGACGAAGTGATGAGCAAAGTGGTCATCTCGTGATCTCTGCCTTCTGGGGGTTTGTGGGTTAGTGATTATTGAGTGAAAGCACAAAGTTATGCAGAAAATGCCCCGGAAGTGATGGCCACTGTAAGGATGGGCATCATGCAAGTCCGTGAAGTTCAAATACTTACTCATTCAACTATTAATTCACTCAATACATATTTTTGAGCTGCATGGATTGGTTCCAGGTGAGTCTTCGATGTGGGCAAGCACAGAAGGAGGAACCCATCTGCATCCTCTTTCTTAGGCATCAGATGAAGGGGAGCTAGCTGGGGGTGATGGGGGATTTGACTTCTTCCCCATCCCTCTCCATCTCTCTCTTTCTCAGAACCACGGGCACAAGGAGGACATCCTGTGTGTGGCTCAGTGCCCACCTTTTCTTCTTGCCACCTCCAGTTATGATGGGGAGGTCATCATTTGGAATGTCATCTCAGGCCACATATACTGCAAGCTGAATACTCCCACCCCCTCTGATGATGCAGAAGATGGAAAGGGTAGGTCAGGGGTAAGCTCCTTGGCTACTATGCGCAGGCCCTAGCAACCTAGGACTCTGACATGTCCTAAAGAGATCTCAGTTCTGGACAGCTTCCCAGTTTGTAGGTATTAGCCTGGTTTCAGGTTTAACCTGTCGGCGGGAGATTCCCAAAGCTGGGAGGAAATTTAAGAGTTTGGCTAGCTCAGTCAACATCCCCAGGTACTCATCATCAGATGCTGTCTCAGTCCAGCCCACCACCTCCGGGAGTCTTTTCTCATCTACTGTCCATCTAAAGGACTCTCTGCCCTGTTGAGCCCCCTTGGGCTTTGCTTCAGTGCTGATTAACCCCTCTGTCTTCACAGGCTCCTTTTGCCCAGCTAGCAAGGCTGCTCTCCCAAGCCACCTCAAACATCATCTTCTGTTGTGTCACTCAGCTATATGCCCAGGCTTTATGCCACCTTCTCCATCAGCCCCCTCAGGTGGCACCCAGGGTCCCAGAGTCCTCATCCCCTACACTCTGCCACATGGGTAAATCCTTATTACTTGTATGTATGCATACACACACACACACACACACACACACGTATATATATGTGTGTGTGTATGGTATGTGTGTATATATATATATATATTTCACATATATATACATACTTATGTATGTGTGTGTGTATATATTAAAGATTTCATGTATTTATTTATTTTGAGAGAAACCGTACACAAGCAGGGGGAAGGAGAGGGCAGTGGGGAGAGAGAGAATCTCCAGCAGACTCCCCACTGAGTATGGAGCCCAAAGTGGGGCTCAATCCCAGGACCTTGAGTTCATGACCTGAGCTGAAACCAAGAGTCAAACACTCAACAAACTGAGCCACCCAGGCGTCCCTTATTACTTGTACATTTTATTCCAAAACTTTTCCCTAATCTCCCACCCCATTCTCCCTAAAATTTCTGCCCTGGTTCCATTTCTTCATGACCCTCTTTCTCTGCTAATGTGATCATGGGCCCGTTCATTCATGGCTTCATTCAAAACACACTGTTGAGTTCCTGCTCTGTGCCAGGCCCGGTGCTAGGTGTTGGGGCTGGTAACCACACCCCTCTCCCTCTAAGTCACGAACCCTTTGAAAAACACACTTATCTATCCATTTCATGGCTGGCTATGTTGAATGGAAAACCATGGGAACCCACAGCCAAAGGCTTCCTACCACTCCTTGCCTTACTTCCAGAGTCCAGGTTCATTCTTCCCAAGTGGCAGTCTGTAGACACCCATCTGCCAACAGCCGAGAGACCTACTACCTCACACCCATGGAGCCCCAACCAGGAGATACTGGAGATTTTACATAAAACTGGGGGATTCTTGCATCTCCTGAAACCCAACCAGCAAACCCTCAGAAAACCCCACCCTGCAATCTCCTGCTTGAGGTACCTGATAACTTATTAGCCAAAGAACAGCTCTAATAACTCATTTGATCAGAAAATATCTTTGAGCCATTCCCATCGACAGAACCCTGAGGGAGATGCATAGAAAAGACTAGAGAGAGACTTGAGGCTTGATGCTGCCTTCAAATGGCTCACAGTCTAAATTAAGACACAAGATGTGCATGCCCAACAGATAAAAGAATGCTAAAGCAATGCCTCGGGACTGCTGTGATTGAGACACTCTGGAAGGCAGTGGCTAGAAACTGAATACCATGAGATTAAAAAGAAATTCTTACCTGTAGACCTTTTTTTTTTTAAAGATTGTATTTATCTCTTTGTCAGAGAGTAGAGAATGAGCACAAGCAGGAGAATGGCAGGCAGAAGGAGAAGCAGACTCCCCGCTGAGCAAGGAGCCCATTGCTGGACTCAATCCCTGGACCCTGGGATCACAGCCCTAGCAGAAAGCAGATGCTTAATTGACCAAGCCACCCAGCCATTCCAACCTGTTCCCTTATTACTCATTCTTTTCCTATCCCCTTTTCTATAACATAAAAAAGATTCTTCTATGAGGTTCTTTCTGCTAGTGCCTAAAACTTTTAAAAATCTTTGAGGGAAAAGCAGTGGCATTTCCTTCTAATGATTATTTTCTTTGCCATTAAAATGAAAATAAATTCACTGGCCAAGAATGCAATGTTGACCTTTTAGCCAGCAGCTCTAATTTAAAACCCTGTTTGTAGCAGCATTTTTTGCTTAAAGTTATATGACTGCTGGCTTTGAGAAACTCCTTTTCTCCCCCAAATATGAAGCCAGCCATAGCTACCAATAATTCATATTTCTACATTGCACAAATGAGATGAAAATATGGGAAAGTGCCCTATCCTTCCAGGAAAGACGAGTATTGGCTCTTCTTGAAGGTCAAACCAGAACCCAGTGGTCTTTTTCACATGGGATTGGTTAAGGGGTCACCATCTTATTTGGAAAAACTGTCCAGACTGTTCTTCTGAAGTAATTTTTAGTAGAGAGGGGAGCTAAGGGAGAAATGCAGTGGTGTAAGCCAAGCCAAATGAGACCAAAACAAATACTTTCTGCTGGCTTTTTGACATTTTAGCTTCATTCTTCCCTATATTGGGGATTGTCACATCTTCCTTGACATCAAAGAGAAAGAATTTGACAGTGAGAGAGAACGACGGAGATTGTAACCAGACTAAAACCCAGGAAAGCAGTGGGATCACCGAGAGACTAAGACTTTTGTTTTGTTTTTTGTTTCTTCTTCTTCTTCTTTTTTTTTTGTTTTAATTTTAGAGGTTCTCTCTAGTCTAGATATTAATCCCTTATCAGATATATGATTTGCAAATATTTTCTATCATTCTGTAGGTTGCCTTTTTACTGTGGATAGTGTTTTTTGATGTACATTTTAAAAAAATTTTCATGAAGTCCAATTTGTCTTTTTTAAATTTTATTACTTGTGCCTTTAGTGTCATATCCCAGAAATCATTGCCAAATCCAATGTCCTGATGTTTTTGTCCTCTGTTTTCTTCTAAGAGTTTTACTGTTTTAGGTTTTACCTTTAAGTCTCTTATCCACTTTGAGTTAATTTTTATATGTAGATAAGCATCCAACTTCATTCTTTTGCTGGTGGATATCCAGTTTTCCCACACCATTTCTTGAAGACCGTCCTTTCCCCATTGAACAGTCTTGGCACCCTTATCAAATATCATTTGACGATAAATGTAAGGGTTCATTTTGGGGCTCTCTAGTCTATTCCATTTGTCTACATGTCTGTCTTTATGTCAATACCACACTGTTTTGATTACTGTAGTTTTATAGTAGTATTAAAATTGAGAGGTGTGAATCCTCCAGTTTTGCTCTTCTTTTTCAAGATTATTTTGGCTATCTGGGGTCCCTTGAAATTCCATACAAACTTTAGGATGGGTTTTCTATTCTGTAAAAAATACCATTGACATTGCTTTGTGTAGTTTTATTTTATTTATTTACTTTTTTTTTTGAAGGTGGGGGGCGGAGGCAGAGGGAGAAATGGACTCCCTTCCATGCAGGGGACCTGATAAGGGGCTCGATCCCACGATCCTGGGATCATGACCTGAGCTGAAGGCAGACACTTAATTGACTGAACCACCCAGGTGCCCCTAGATTGCTTTGCATAGTATTGACTTTTTAACAATATTAAGTCGGCTAATCCATGAACATGGATGTATTCCCATTTATTTATGTCTTCAATTTATTTCAGCAATGTTTCGTAGGCTTCATTGTATAAGCCTTCCACTTCCTTAATTCCTGAATATTTTATTCTTTTTGAAGCTATTGGAAATGGGGCTGTTTTTTTAATTTCCTTTTCAGATGGTTCCTTGTTTGTATATAGAAATGCAACTGATTATTGTGGGCTGACTTTGTATCCTGCTACTTTGCCAAATTCATTTATTACTTCTTAGATACTAAGCTTTTTAACTAGGAAACTAATATAAAAATATTTTTATAACTAATGATATTTATTATAACAATATAATATTTAATAAATATAATAATTTAAGTAGTATTTAGTATTTAATAATAATATAATTATAATTAATATAACATATAAATATTTTTAAAATACTATATTTAATCTTCTATGTCATTTTCCTGAGTTCTTTTAATATTTTATCTCATTTAGGTCTCACAATGACCCTGAGAGATAGGTACTATTGCACCCATTTTCATAGATCAGGAATCTGAGGCCAGAGAGCTCAATAACAATGATTATGAGAGGGCCTGAATCTACCATGTCCACTATGGTTTCCTGAGTGCACAGCACAGTGCTGAGCTCAGAGGCCAGAATAAATATTGTTGAATGATTAACAACCTGATACATGAGTGTCCTCACGGTGTTAAGTACAAGGAGCAGCACCCCTCGTATTTAACTCCAGTACCAACCCCATTATTTATATGGCCCCTTATTTACATGAGACCATTCATTGCACCTCTACTCTGGGCAACCTATGTATCCTGGAGCCCACAGACTCAAGGAGGGCAATATAAAGGGAGTTCCTTGCCCACAACCTCAAGTAGCAACATTCTTTGTGGCTCTCACAGCTTTGCTTCTAAAGAGCTTGTTGGACTTTTCTTCTGCAGCAAATAGTTGAGTTCTGTGTGCCAAGCACTGTGAGGGGATTACAGATAAGTGATAAACAAGACAGATGTGGCCCTTGTGTGGAGGTCCTGGAAATCTAGCCAGGAGACTGGAAGACCAAGGTGAAGCAGGGTGGTGGGCTTTGAAGTTATTCAGATACTTGTCTGTGCTGTGAAGATCGGGGTTTGACATCTCTCCCTAGAGAGCCCTCTCTGCCCCCTGCCCATGGTATCTTTCGAGATTACAGATCGGATGCTGCTTCCCCTGAGAAGCCTTCATCCTGCAGGTGCCATCAGCATCCTGTTCATTCCTGGGGCCAGTTCTGCTTTGGTTCGGCTCTCTGCTTCCCTTTCTCTCTGCAGCCCTTAGTGCAATGCCTCGGCTGTACCAGAGATTTAGCAGATGTTGATAAAACAAACAAACAAACAAGTGAATAGAAACATGAATATCTTTATGGCCTTGAGCGAAGCTTTTCACCTTTATAAGCCTCTACATCCTCATCTGGCCGTGGGGTTAATAATCCAATAAGCCATGGGATTTCACATGGTTTTCCATCTTAGTAAATGTCGAAGGTGACATAAGATTAATTCGTATTATTCCAATCCAGGAATTTTTGGAGAGTGGGGCTTCTTGAGGAACACCCATAAAATCCCGGGCAAATTCTCCCAAATCCTTCACTCTCTCCAAAAGCCCTAGGGTCCTGCGCTGCCAGGGCCATTAGCCTTCACACCTGACTTCACCTGGGTTGGTTCTTAACCAGCACAGGTGCCTGCTTGCCTGAGCACCCCTGTATGCTCAGCTCCAGCTTCAGGCCCACGGTAGGGTATGGAGAGGCAGAGTTGCAGGAAGGGGGCAAGAAAGGGCTGTGAGCCTGATGGAGATCACAACCAAACTTTCCCTGGTCACCAGGCCCAGACCGGTGTGTTTCCTGCCTCATCTTCCTGAAGTCTCGGGCTGCCAAGTTTGAATCAGCGGCTGCTTCCCTCATCACCAATGGGCCTGGAGGTGAGAATGGCATCCCCCAGAGGCTGTGCTGCTCTTTGCTAAGACTTGGTCACTGCAAGCCCAGGTTTGGAGAGGGGGGTCCCCAGTCACTCATTCCTGTCCTCTGCAACCTCTCCTATCCCTCCCTCTGGCTGCTGTCTCTCCTTGGAACCTAGGCTGACCAGGCCCCCACCCTGGCCTGCTCTGGCCCAGTCCTGCCAGCCAGCGAGGTGGTCACATGGAGAGTGAGGGCCTGACTCCCCCTTCCTCCAAATCAAGTTTCCTTGCCCCAGCTGCCCACTCAGAGGCCCTCTGCAAGTGAAGTGGGCCACAGAGGACATCATTGAGTCAGGCTGAGGAAACGCCAAGCACAGTCTGTAAGGGGAAGGCCACAAGCAGCCACAGCACATTCTGTAAGGGGAAGGCCACAAGCAACCACAGGCGGCCTGAACAAAGAAGAAGACAAACAAAGAATCCTGAGTGGAGATCGGCTACGTAGCTTGCTCATTTTAGGACGAAGAAGCTGGGGCTCCCCCAAGAACTTGAGGATGAGCTTCTGAGTCCAGATCTGCCACTAACTAGTTTGGTGACATTCCACAAATGACATGACCCCTCCGGCCCCCCACCGTGGGCTTTAGTAAAATGTAACAAGTGGGCCACAGTCCTGTTCCAAAGCTGTAGGATTTTAATTAAAATTGCGAGTTGAAAGCAGCCAGCCACCTGTGTTCCGGTAGAAAGGGAAGGCTTGAGATATGTGTATTGGTCCCAGGGTACTTGGTCATCTGTGTCCTTCTTATCATGTAGTGACAGAGGCTGAGGACTCAGGGTCCCAGCGGCCCCCCAAGCTGCAGATGTCCTTGGATGTTTCTCTCCACCCTCTACCATGAGGCGTCCATGGCTTGTGCTTTACCCAGTGGGAGCACAGAACCCCTTTGCTCCCGAGAGAAGAGGAGGAAAGTGCATTCATTAGGGAGCTCCTAAGAGGATGCAGTACACATGGGGTCCCCCTTCACAAAGGCTTGCTTCATGAACATCCACATATAAAACATGGTCAAGAATTGTGCATAACTGGTAGGCCAAAAAGGACCTCGCCCCCCCTCCCCAAATTCCTTTGACTAGGCAAGTCCCACAGTGTGTGTGAAATAAGTGCTCATACATACAGGCACACAGATGTGCACGTGCGCGTGCACACGCGCGCACACACACACACTAATTATTGCTGTAGCCCAAATTTCTGGACCCTTCCTCTATGGCCCTTCTCATCAGGAAATCTGCCCAGATTAATGGAGAAAGAAAAGGCTACTGAGCCAGTTAATCCAAAACCCATACAGAAGACCCCCGCCCCAGTATTTACTGATAATTCTAACTGATCAGTTAGCCAAGGGAGAAAGAACAAGGTCCTGGGTCATGAGGCTGCAGAGCCTGTCAGCAAAGGCTCAGACACTCAGCACAGGGGCGGGGGGTTGGGGTGGGAGTGGGGGCTTGCACAGCCACGCTGCCCTTCCTCACAGGTTCTGTCACCTTCTGGAAGCTGTTTGGTGGGGCCTGTCCCATTGCAAACTTCACTCCCGTAAGTTGGGAAGTTGGTTGAAAATCACTTTCCAGGCTTTGGGTCTGTTGTTTTTTGTTTTCTTTTTTTTTTTTTAAGATTTTATTTATTTATTTGAGAGAATGTATGAGAGCGCACGCAGTGGTGGGGTAGGGGAGAGGCAGCAGGAAAGGGGAGGGAGAAGCAGACTTCCCACTAAGCAGGAAGCCCCATGCAGGGCTCTATCTCGGGACCCTGGGATCATGACCTTAGCTGAAGGCAGTTGCTAAGTGACTGAACCACCCAGGAACCCATGTTGTTTTTATTCTTTTTTGACACTAGCCTGGCTATGAAACACAGCAACTCTTATGGGCTCCAAGTTCTTAGCTGTATTTTTCTATATAGCATTTCCCTATTTCACTGAAAGATTAACACAGGCACAGTGATTGGTTCTTGCTATAAATGAGATATAGCATTCCACTTGCCATTGTCTGACAAGCAAGATAAAGACATTGCTTTATCTGCAATGACCCTGACCCCACGTGTATCTCTGATGGACTACGTATGTGTGCACGTGTGTTTGTGTGTGTGTCATGGGCCCTATGTGTGTGTATGTGCGTGTGTGTCTGGCTATCTACGAGTGGCCCCGTGTGTACATGTCTGTGAAAGGCTATGCTCGTGTGTATGTATGTGTGAGGGGCTATGTCTGTGTGTGTCTGGGAAGCACCATGTGGGTGTCTCTGTAATGGGCGCTGTGCATGTTTCTTTCAGTCCAGGGACAAAACGCAGGTCAGCAGCATCGCGGTGACAGCAGGAGATGCCCTTGTCTACGTGACTGACCAGGAAGGTTTTGTGCACGTTTATGACATCAAAGAGTATGGCCTACAGGGACCTGAGCTGCAGTCCCCCAAGAGTAAGCAGTGAAGGCTCCTTGTTAAATACCATGATTAGCACAGCTTTGATTTTAATTGAATGTTTTCATTGGTAAAATGAAATTGTACCAGTGAGGATGGGAGGGGCTCTCTTCAACCCTTTACAAATGGATGTAGTAACAAATAGTTTCATGAAAATATTCACAGCTGGCACAGATACAGGAAAATGGGCACTCAAATGCTCTTAAATAACAAATTGGTATATACTGTCTGAAGGGCAAGTTGACAGTACGTATCTAAAGCTTCAGACCAGCAGTCCTACTTCTAGGCATGTGGCCGAAAAGAATAATAAGACAAGTGTGGGGCACCTGGGTGGCTCAGTGGATTAAGCCTCTGCCTTAGGCTCAGGTCATGATCCTCCTGGAATCGAGCTCTGCATCAGGCTTTCTGCTCAACAGGGAGCCTGCTTCCCCCTCTCTCTCTGCCTGCCGCTCTGCCTACTTGTGATCTCTCTCTGTCAAATAAATAAATAAAATCTTTAAAAAAAAAAAAAAAGACAAGTGCCCAAAGATTTAGTTATCAGGTTGTGAATCAAAACATTGTTTGTATGAAAGACAATCATTAGAGACAAGCTAGATATCCAACATAAGGAGAATTGGTTCAGTACATGATGGTGTAACAAATACACTGGAATGCCATCTAGTCATTAAATAATAATGCTGTAAATGAAAATGTATTCACAGGAAAAATATTCATGGTAAATTATTAAGTGAAAAAATTCAGATTGCGAAATTACTGAAGTACGAGTCTTTGTTAAAACGAAGAAGTAGGGGCGCCTGGGTGGCTCGGTGGGTTAAAGCCTCTGCCTTCGGCTCAGGTCATGATCCCAGGGTCCTGGGATTGAGCCCCGCATCGGGCTCTCTGCTCGGCGGGGAGCCTGCTTCCTCCTCTCTCTCTCTGCCTCTGCCTACTTGTGATCTCTATCTGTCAAATAAATAAATAAAATCTTAAAAAAAAAAAAAACGAAGAAGTATATGGAAGACTGAAAGTCTGGAAGGACATACACCAAAGTTTTAGCAAATGTTAGCTCTTTGTAGATGAGGTTATTTATTTTTTATTTTTGGAAATGTGTATTTTCTAAGTTTTCCAGAAACATATTGGTTTAGCAGTCAGAAAAATGTTTAAAAATTTAAAACCCTTTCAGGGCGCCTGGGTGGCTCAGTGGGTTAAGCCGCTGCCTTCGGCTCAGGTCATGATCTCAGGGTCCTGGGATCGAGTCCCACATCGGGCTCTCTGCTCAGCGGGGAGCCTGCTTCCCTCTCTCTCTCTGCCTGCCTCTCTGTCTACTTGTGATCTCTGTCAAAAAAAAAAAAAAAATCTTTAAAAAAAAAAAAAAAAAAAAAAAAAACCCTTTCAGCAATTGTAAAAGTGCTCAAGTTTGGAAAAAAAAATTAGACAGCACAAAAGAATGGAAAATGGAAAGTAGTAGTTGTTAACTGTGACCTCTACTGCCTCCTAACCTGCCCTTGCTGCATCTGGAGAACACTGTTAATGAATTTTCATTTTCTTCCAGAAAATTTCTATCCACACATATAAGCCATATATATATATACAGGGGCACCTACATACACACAATACATAATTTTCAGGACTTGTTTATTTTTTTGTGTCCCTTAGACAACTTTCTAACTAAGCATATTTAGCTTTGTTTAGCATATTTAATATCTAACATACATAAATGGTTATATGAAACCCCATATACATTACTATATAACTATTCTATATAATATAGAATATAGCATTTCTATATTTCTATATGTATATATAAATACATTTCTATAAAGCCAATAGAGAGGTAAATATTTGCATACTTCCACTGAGTCATCTTTTCCTGTTCACCACAGAAGTTTAAATGCTAGAGTAAAAAATAAATAAATAAATAAAAATAAATAAATAAAAATAAAAAAAAATGCTAGAGTAAGAGAAATTGGAATTTAAGAGTAAGAGCCACCTGCCTAGTCTAGGTCATTTACTCCAAGTACTGGGAACATAGCTCTTACCTGGCTAATTCACAAAATAATTCTCATTAGTTGTCTGCTTCTGCATGCTTACCAAACCCTAAGCACTGAGGGAAACCATAACATAAGCACCTTGCACAGGACCCATTGTGTACATCTTTGGACCTGGGATAGGGTCTTATACAAAGGAGGTGCTCGATAAACACTTATCAATTAATATAACAAAACCAACGACTGCCACACTAGTACCTCTCCCCTTGCAGGACACTCATCCAGATCTGACCCTGTCCTGTAGGAATGGTTGTACAGCATCTCGCATTAATTCCCACTGTACTCAGGTGTGTTCTTTCTTTCGATTTAGATGTGACATTCTGGCAGGCCCATGTCAGTGTGGTGACATCGTGAGTACCATCCATTTTAGAGTTCGAAAATTTGTAAGAGTTAAAATACTTTTCAGAACTTTGATCACATTAACACTCTCAGAAGGTCTCTGAATTACTTGAAATAGGAAGACAGTATTCCAGTCCTGCTGTTGGTGAAAGAAAATATAGGTATCGTTTGCACAAGACTGACTGGAAGTCTTCATTTTTCTTGTAAATGGATGATTGTCTTCCTTGACTAGATCTGATCTGGTATTTTACTATAAGTTTGGAAATTTAGTTAATTAATTAATTTATTTATTTATATTTATTTAATTTTTTTACTGAGTTGAAAGGTGTCAGTGCTAAAGGCATGACCTGAACTCTGGCTGGGCTGTTTTTTACAACCTTGTGATCTACCCCCTAGGCCCATCATCCATAAGATGGTTTCCAGTGTATCTTGTTTGATACCTTGGGGCTGAAGCTGGAGAATTTGAAGAGTGTGGTATGGTAGGAGGCAGGGAAAGAATGGTACCAGGAATAATTGGGGAGATTGACTTGGTTTCTATATTCCAACTGTAATTAATGGAGCATTGACATTTTGATCCAATGTGTCTTTCATGCTGGACAAGCCTTGGAGCATCTCTCCTCCCTTTCTATCTCATTAGTCTGGAGCTGATAGAAGAAAAGTTTCTGCTGTCGTCCTCCCTTGACCGCACTGTGCGCCTGTGGAGTGTGGACGGGAAGTACATAGGTATGGAACATCTACCTGGCCATTACCTCAGTTCCAGTTCAGGGTTTCTGATGTAGCCTCTGTTGAGTCAGGAATTCTCCGAGGCCAAGTGTATTAGTCAGCTCAAGCTGCCTAACAAATACTATCCACCAGGCGACTGAAACAGTAGACATTTATTTCTCACATGAGAACAGTTCTGGAGACTGGACGTCTGGGATCAGGTTCTAGCACAGTTGGGTTTTGGAGAGAGTGCTCTTCCTGGCTTGCAGAGGACCATTTTCTTGTATCTTCACATGGCAGCGAGACTGCTCTGGTATCTCTTCTTATCAGATCCCAGTCAGATCAGAGCTTTACCTTTATGACCTCATTTTCACCTTAATGACTTTCATAAAGGCTTTATCTCCAAATATAGTCACATTGGGGGTTAGGGCTTTAGCATGTGAGTTTTGGGGGGAAAACAAAATTCAGGCCATACAGTAAAGTCAGCTTACTTTCACAAAAATTAGCAAAATCAAAGACAGTTAAACTTTAAGAACTCAGCCAGACTGAGCTCAGTGAGTTTGATAAGGAACCCTGTTATCATAGGGTCATGTTTCTGTAGGAATGATTCAGGACTGGAGGGGCTGTGTATGGGGAAAGGCCTAGCCAGGGTCGGCTAAAGTAATAAGATTAACCTGACTTACTGTGTAGAGAGACTCTGTATATTTATTTCAGCAGGTCATCTTGTTTCCCTAACTGATACCCCTTGAAGTAAATGTTAAAACTGTTTAGAATTTATTCTGTAAATCCTTAGTATATTACGGAGTAGTTTAAGCGCCCATGTGATGCATTTTGTAGGAGGCATACCAGGCTCAGGTTTCCAGAGCCAACTGCCCTGGAGTTGTTTCTTAAGGAACTATGAAAGTGGAACTAAATTTGATTAGGTTGACCTAGCCATCTTAGCAGTAAGCTTTGCTCCAATTAGAAGCCAGTTTAGCTCCCATACTATGCTTATTTGTCTCTATTCTTCCAGGAACTTTTGGGCAACAAAGCCCCTGGGATATTTTCACTCCTGCCTCCTAGAGCCACCCTAGAGTGCCCTGTGAAATTTTGACAGATCCCCAGAGCACACCTGCTCACCCAGTGCTGGGAGGGGATGTGGCTGTTCTGCACACAAAGGAGGAGGAACAAGACAAGGTGGTAGAGGAAAAGGCAAAGTTGGTCCCTGCACATCCAATTCACATCTTCGCATTTTGGAATTCTGTGGCTTGGAATACAAATTGCAACCTGAAAGAGTCAAGGAATGACCCAGAGAACCAAGTAAATACAGGGATTGAAAGTGTGTCCCTAGGGGCGCCTGGGTGGCTCAGTGGGTTAAGCCTCTGCCTTCGGCTCAGGTCATGATCTCGGGGTCCTGGGATCGAGCCCCGCATCGGGGTCTCTGCTCAGCTTCCTCCTCTCTCTCTGCCTGCCTCTCTGCCTGCTTGTGATCTCTCTCTGTCAAATAAATAAATAAAATCTTTAAAAAAAAAAAAAAAAGTGTGTCCCTAGATCATGCTACCGACCAGAGCTGTGTTAGGGGTTGGGAGGGTAGGGATTGTTGGTCCATCTGTGGGAATGGTTGAAACTCGTCTCCTAGGGTCACTTGACTTTGTCCTCCTTTTGACCAACAAAAAGGCGACTGTGGCCTTGGACTGTAAGGAGGGGACTGAGCATCAGGCTCAGCCCTGCAGTCACATCTGAGAAGAACAGGCGCTGACAATTCAGCCCACTGCACGCACGCCCCTTTAAGAAATACACACAAAGGCTAGGCTTCCTAGCAAGTGATAGGAGGAAATGATCGGGTTAGTGCCCTCGTCTATGAAAGTCAAAATTGGAGCAAGAGATTTGGAGAGGGCTCTGGTAGATGCAGTCTTGATTTAGAGCTTAGTGAAATATATGGATTTCCAAGAAACGCTTGCCCTTTAATAAATTGAAAAGAAGGTCATTTCATGAGCTATTGCTCACTGGTTATGTTACAACTCAAAGCAGAACACCTGCTCTGCCAGCAAAATAATGTGTCTCAGATTTTTCCTTGGCAGCCTCCTAGAATACTGATCACACAGCGTAACCTCGTTGCTGACTTTTCTGTAGAGCTCCAAACATACTCAAAATAGGAAATAAAGGGACCCGGCAAACACAGATCAAGAAAACCTTCTGTCTTGTCAGAGGCCTCTCAACATTGCCACAATCGTGTTCTCGTAAGCATTCCCAAGGTTATAAAGAGGTACCGTGGTGGCTCTCAGGAGATCAGAATGTGTCTACCCAGCACTATCGGTCTATTTAGAAATACAGTAATTTCCGTGTGCATTTGATATAGAGCAAATAAATGAGTTCATTAATTTTGATAGACCCGCAATTTGGAAACAAAAGCACAGAGGGAGGTGGGAAGAGAGGAAGGCCAGGATGAGGGAAATGTGCTGACGTGCGCAGAAGCCAGGCGGATGTTTGGCTGGAAGCAGTCCTAGAGAGAAATTCTGACTGCAAGTCTAATGTAGGAACCGGAAGGAGGGAGCTGAGGGAGGAGGGCAAAGCAGGAGGAAGAAGGAAGGGAGGGGAAGGGAGAGGCAGGGAGGGGAGGAAGGCTATTCGGTTCAACAAATCAAAATAGATAATTTACATGATGTTTGTTCTCTGAGAGTGAAAGGGGGTGGGGCAGTGGACTCCAGGATTGACCTTGGTCTTGTGTAGATAAACCATTAGGTGCTTCTGTGTTTATTATCCTGTCCAATTTGACTGCTGTTACCTCAGGAAACAGTCTGTCAATTCTTTCTAAGAGAAATACACGGGGAAAATTAAGAAAAGAATCTCAGCCCTTACGTAGTGTATTTGGGCCAGTCAATGGGAATCCAAACTGTGAAATTGCAGAATAAAGTGTTTGCAGCACTGTTTACAAGGTAGGGTCTCCTGAGTTCTGGTCTCAAGTTCACCTTCATTAGATGTGTGACCTTCACCAATCACTCCTATTAACCTATGAAATGAGAGGAGGATTAGCTGATGTGTGTGTTTTGTTCCAGCCCTAAAAACGTTAGGTTTCTCTGAATGTCTGTTTTGCAAAACTGAATGTGTTGATTGGATTCTGGGTGTCAGTAGCAATTCTTCCAGAATATCAGCATATCAAATACAATCACAACTAAAATAAGTTGACAGAATGCAGAAAATCATTCTCCTGGAAAATATCTCGTATGAGTTGGTGGTTTGAAAACTTGAGTAAAATCTCAGGGGAAAATGTTCTTGTTTTCCAGCAGATTCAGCCAGGCTGGATCTTGTTCCAACATGGAAAATTCATGTAACTGACAAGTTATCCCTGTTCCCCATCACCAGTGTGATCTTGGGTTCTCAGTCCCATAACTGTTCCTTCTTCTTTCAGCCTGAAAAGACCCCTAATCCTCGCTCTCCAGAAGACCCCATCCCTAAAGTTGAAATGAAAGAAGACATAGATCAATGGTATGCATTTCGCAATGGCAGGTCAGCCTAATAGGAATAGGCAGGTCGAAGTGAGGGCCCCCCTGAAGTAAGGCAGCCTTTCCTGGCTGAGGCATCCCATATCACTCTGTCATCAACATGGGTCACTTGTCCCTAAGCCCCCAACCTGTGACTATAATGAAGTCACCATTCAAATCTCGCCAGTGTGATGTCCTACCTACATGACTGGACACCCTGAGCCCCAGTTTTGTCTAGCCATCCCAGGTGGCCAAAGGCGACCCTCTTGAGTTCTTCACCTTGAGCTCCATGACTGATATTGCTGCCTTCAAGGCTATGTGGGGCAGTACTCCCTCACTGTTCTTCTTGCAGCTGCTCAGACTTCCTGAGGGTGTGGGGTGAGGATCCAAAGCTCAGAAAACATGGGGTACCCCAAAGGCCTTGTGTGCCCTCTAGTTTCCCTGCACCGGGATGTGGCTGGGTTCCACAGAGAAGTGAGATGAATGAAAGCGTCTCTCCAGTTCTGTGAGGTGTTTTGTTCTCCAGGCCCCATACCAGCTGTCTTGGGTCCCAATCATCAAGGGACCTGGAAACAGCTACTCAGTGTCACCTGTTACTCCTTTCATCATGGGATTTAGATCTAGGCTGTGGGGGTGCATGAGTGATGACACCACCCTGACTTGCCCATTTTCATGGTGCAGTGGTTCCAAATCATCAGGAGCCCAGACCCCTTCTTTGTACTTCAGCCCAGTATCTTCGTTCTGGTTTCTGTCTTCACTATCATCTTATGGTACAAAGAGCCACAGGGCCTCCCACTTTCCAAATAGTCTGAAGAAACAGGAACATGGAGAACAGATGTCCAGGTCAAAAGGGAGGCACATCCCAGCCAGATCTGCTCCCTTTATGAACTTTTCCAGGAGGTCCTACACACTTCTGCTTACATCCTGTTGGCCAGAACTTAGTCACATGGTCACACCTAGCTGCAAGAGAATTCAAAGTTCTGTAACCAAGAAGGAAAGCAACAAAGGACTTTTAGTAGGTGACTAGCCAATCTCTGTTCCAGTGGGTCAAATAGTCAGATGTTTCAGACGCTATCAAAATCAGAAGGCATTACACATGGAAACCCTACCTTGTGTATCGTGCCAGAAAAAAGTTGACAGCCATGAATCTAAAGTTTGGTTAGAAAATGGCATGGACAAGGGGTGCCTGGTTGACTCAGTTGGTTAAGCAGCTGCCTTCGGCTCACATCATGATCCCAGGGTCCTGGGATGGAGCCCCACATCAGGCTCACTGCTCAGTGGAGAACCTGCTTCTCCCTCTCCCTCTGCCTGCCACTCTGCCTACTTGTGCTCTCTCTCTCTATCTCTCTGTCAAATAAATAAATAAAGTCTTTTAAAAAAAAGAAATTAAATGGCATGGACGAGGATTAGAGCTACAGGTCTGTCTTTGAAAACTGTGACCTCAGGCAAGGCATTTAGACTTCCTGTTGATACCCAGGATCTCCCAGGAGGATATGTGATCTAAGGAGACAGTGAGCATGACGTGTTTGTCTGGAGACAGAAAGGGAGCAGGAGTCTCCATCCACAGATACCTTGGATCTTCATCATTATCATCATGGACGAGGGCAGAATCAACACCATTCTTTAAACACCTTTGCAGAACCAGCGTGGGTTTTATTTGCCTCTCCTTGGAGTGTTAGTCTGCTCAGGCTGCTGTAACAAAACACAAGACTGGGTGGCTTACCCAACAGACATTTATTCTTAGAGTTCTGGAGGGTAGAAGTCCAAGATCAAGGTTTGGGGCAACTCAGTTCCAGGCGACGGACTTCTCACTATGTCCTCATGGGATGAAATAAGAATCTCTCTCTTGTTCTTCTTCTAAAGACACTAATCCTATCCTAAGGGTCCTACCTCATGACCTCATTGACCCTAATGACCTCCCAAAGACCCCATCTCCGAACAGCATCACACTGGGGGTTAGGGCTCTAACATCTGAGTTTTGAGGGACACCATTCAGTCCATCTCCAGAGACGGCTCTGGGTGTGGGGTGGGACAAGGCTGCCAAACAACATAAACCAAGAGCAGGAGGCAGCTGTAGGAAGATACCATCATGCTCGTTAGGTCCACGCCAAGAGGGGAAGCATGAATGTTGGCTCTGGACTCAGCATCGATTCTCTCTTTCTCTCTGCTGCAAGGCCACAAGAGTGGAACCTTAAAGGGGGAGCTGTGAGCAGTGAAGAAAAGAGGCCAGAGTGGGGCTGCTTAGAGAGTCCCAGCCAGGAGGGGAACCAGTAGAAATATTCTCATCCAGTTGGATGGACACCAGTTTGTTGGGCTACTTAAAAATCTATGTTTTTTAAGGCAGAGAACCCTACATAAAACAGTAAATGTTTTACTTCAACTTGCAACAGTAAGATGTACATTTGTTCCCCAATCTTTGGATTTGGGACCAAGACTTTCTCTTCAACCAAGAGACAAGTTCAGCACAGTCTTCCATAAATACATTATATACGACTTTCAGTTTCTGCTCTTTTTAAGTAGAGCAAGAACTGAAAGATACTTGCAAAGCAATATGAGCACAGTACCCTCCTAGATTTTTAGAATTTTCCACACACTTTAAAAAGTTGTCCCATCTATCCTCAATTCAATATCACCCTTCTTCTTGTCTTCCCAAAGAATTCGTCTTAGTTTTCACAAAATGAAAACTATTCACCCGAATTTCATTAAATTTCATATCATGTAAATTGATTTATGACCGCAATAAAAGGTACCACTGCCATATAGGTTTGGGAACAAACACAGACGGTCTTTGTTAAGCACACAACTCAACCCTCAACCATTGGGAGCAGATGTGTCATTGACCAGCCATGACTATTGGGAAGCTGCGGGCATTGGGCACGGTGTTTACAGGGTCAGTCAAACCATCATTTCAGTTAAGAGGGCATCTACAATATGTGATCCTTTGAGTAGCAAGAATCAAAACAAATCAAACGGATGCCTTTCTCTGGACAGCTTGGCTGTAGCATTGAGGACGAGAAGAAGAGAACACGGGCAGGAAGGAAGAGGGGGATGACCCTGTCCTTGGTCTACCCATCAGATACCTCACCTGCACTCTCTCAGTGGGGCCTGCCTTCTCAAACAGCACACACCTCATCCAACACCAAAAAATGTTGGGGATCTTCCAGGCCACTTCTGATGTTTAGGTGGGAATTACTAAATGATCTTGTTTCATTCTCATAGCATCCTAGAGATGGACTGTGTGTTTTCCACACTTATAGATAAGGAAACTGAGGCTTGGGAATTGCCCAAAGTCAAACCACTGGTCAGTATAAGGCTGGCACATGGTGTCACCGGTCTGTGAAAAGACCAGGCTTCAGAGAAGGGCTTTTATATGAGCATAGAAAAGAAGTTGTAGCTTTTTTTTTTTTCTTTTGAGGCAGTGGAGAGGGGCAGAAGGAGAAGGAGAGAGAATCCTCAAGCAGACTCCCCACTGAGCATGGCACCCCAAGCAGGGCTCAATCTCATGACCCAGAGATCATGACCTGAGCTGAAACCAAGGGTCAGTTGCCTAACCAACTGAGCCACCCAGACGTCCCCCCGAAGTGTAGCTTTACAATGCTCCAGATAGGAAGTGGAAGCTGTTGGCAATGGGCAGCTGATCATGGAATCAAGCACCCTCCCCCAAACGCAGGCCAGAGTGATGGCGCTAGTGTTAACTAGCTGGGGTTCACTTGTACACAAAGGGGTAAGAAAGCAGCCAGGAGTAGGGCCTTTCCGGGCTTTGTGGGGTGAAGCGAGTCTGGGAGCGGCAGACTGGGAAAAGACCCTGTACCAGGAAGGCGAGTGGGTGACTCAGCGACCATGCATGGAGCAGAGGGAGGGAGAGGATACCCTTGGACTCTCAGAGACACGGGGGGGGGGGGGGGGGGGGGGGGGGGGGG